GCTCCCCAGTTTGTGAATTCATGGAGATACAACGAGTAGCATACTTTGAGAGGATGAATAAGCTCTATGTCCTTTTCCCCCTCCTTACCCTATGCATCCCTACCATCTGGTTGTTCCTGAGTCATATCCTTTAATGATAAACCTGTGATCTAGGAAGTAAATGTTTCTCTGAGTTCTGTGAGATCCTGTAACAAATTAATTGAACCCAAGAGGAGGTCATGAGAGCCTCTAAGCTACAAGCGCTCAATCAAAAGCACAGGTGACAACCTGGGTTTGTGATTGGCATCTGAAGGGCAGGGCAGTCTTGTGGGACTGAACCCTTAACTTTTGATATCTGGTTCCATTTCCAGGTGCATAGTATCAGATAAGTTGAAAGGTAGGACACCCAGCTGATGCCCAAGAATGGTTTGGATGAGGGGAACATCCCACACACTGGAACTGGTTATTAGAAACTTAGTCCCTTAGTGAGGCATGGCTGGGCCTGTCCTGCTGAGCCAGCAGTGGATGGAAAGCAGACCTGCGTGCATCCTCTCTATGGGAAGGCAGAGCAGAGACAGGTCCTGGCTTTTGCTCCCACCCTCTTCTGGATCAACAGTCCCCTATGCTACACATAGGACCTTGTTGTTTATCCATCCTACAAATAATAGTTTGCATCTGCTAATCCCAAAGTCCCAATCCTTTCCTCCCTTACCCCCTTGCAACCACATATCTGTTCCCTATGTCTGTGAGTCTGTTTCTGTTCCATAGACAAGCTCATTTGTGTCATATTTTAGATTCCACATGTAAGTGATATCATATGTGTTGTGTTTCCATTTCATAGATAAATTCATTTGTGTCATATTTTAGATTCCACAAATGTGATATCATATAGTGTTGTGTTTCTGTTTTGCAGATAAGTTCATTTGTGTCATGATTTATATTCCACATACAAGTGATAAATGATATTTGTCTTCCTCTTTCTGACCTACTTTGTTTAGTATGATAATTTCTAAGTCCATCCATGTTGCTTTAAATGGCATTATTTCATTCTTTTTTTAGGCTGAGTGAGAGTTATTCCATTTTGTATATGTGTGTGTATATATATATATACTCACTCATATATATTCTTTATCTCTCATTTGTCTTTATCCATTCATCTGTCAATGCTCATTTAGGTTTATTTCATTTTTTGGATAGTGTAAATAGTGTTGCTATGAATATAGAGGTTCAGTATTTTTTAATTATAGTTTGGTCTGGATAGTGCGATTGCTTTATAACATGGCAAATCTATTTTTAGTTTTTTGAGGAACTTCCATACTGTTTTTCACAGTGACTGTACCAATTTATATAATTACCAAAAGTGCATAAAAGTTTCCTTTTCTCCACACACTCCAGAATTTGTTATTTGTAGACTTTTTTATGATGGCCTTTCTGACCAGTGTAAGGTGGTACCTCACTGTAGTTTTGATTTGGATTTCTCTAACAGTTAGTGATGATGAACGTTTTTTCAAGTGCGCATTGGCCACCTGCCTGTCTTCTTTGAAGAAATGTCTGTTTAAGTCTTCTGCCCATTTTTTTTATTTTTCTGTTATTGAGTTGTATACGTGTGTGCTTAATAACTTAGTAGTATCTGACTCTTTGAGTTGTATGAGCTGTTCATTGGAAATTAAGCCCTGGTTGATAGTATCACTTGCAAATATTTCTTCCCAGCCTGTATAATCTCATTTTAGACCCTTTAGACTGCCCTGGGATGCTGAGTGTACTTGTCCTATTTCTCCTGAAACAGATTAGAAATGTGCAATGGTGTAAACAAGTTAGAGAATTATTTGTTACTCACATAGCAGATGGGGAATAAAAAGTCAGGAGCACATCCAATGGCTTTACAATGTTGGGGGCCTAAGTTTTTTCTGACTTGTTATTCTATGATCCCTAGATTGTTGGCCTCACCTTCATGGATCAAGATATATCACTACCACATTCCAGCCAGTGAGAAGGGAGAAATGCATTTCCACTCTTCTTTAAATGCAGGAGCCAGGGTTTGCAGGGGCTCCCTGGTAGCTCAGATGGTAAAGATCTTCCTGCAATGGAGGAAACCCCAGTTTGATTCCTGGGTCAGGAAGAACCCCTGGAGAAGAAAATGGCTAGCCACTCCAGTATTCTTGTCTGGAAAAATCCATGGACAAAGGAACCTGGCAGGCTACCATCCATGGCATTGGAAAGAGCTGGACACTACTGAACAAGTAACTGTTATGTGGCCACATCAAGCTGTGAGGATTACTGGGAGATGGAGTCTGTTCTGGGTAGTGATGTGTCCAGCTAAAAGTTGGGGATTCTACTACTAAGAATGATGGGAAGAATAGATATTGGGGACAGAGGAACCAACATTTCCCTGTAACTCATTTTTTACCTTTCTCCACAATCCATTTGTCATCACATCCTGGCCCATGACCACTCCTGATGCCTTACCCTAGTCTTTATCCCTGCTGATACCACAATGGAATAGCCCTTACAGCTTCATAACTTTTGTCTTAAGAGAATTTTTTAGCAGATCTTTTTGCCTCCAGTCTCTTTCCACCCTCCTCCAGTGATCTTTCTAAAGTGAAAATCTGATTGTGCGGCTCCACTGGTGATAAGGTCTTCAAAGGCTCCACTGCTCAGAGAAGTGAGATTTTAACTGCAGATTTCTGAACCCCTGAAATTATATGCATATTTGTCACACATGTGCATTTTTCCAAAGAAAGCTTCAGATTCAAGGAGTCCGTGATTCTCCCTCCAATTATAGGCTCAAGTTTAAATCCCTAATCAATGAAAAAGTGAGATGTGTCCACCAACCTTCTTCTCACATCTCCTCTCTGGACACTTGTCCTGTGCAACCTAAACCCAAGACCTCCTGAAACGACTCTGAAAGAGCAGATCATGCTCTTTCACACTCCACGTCTTTATGCCTACTATTCTAACTGGAATGCCTGGGCAAACTCTTACACATCCTTATGGCTTAGCTTAAAAGTTGACCCCTCTGAAGTCTTCTCCACTCCCTCTGATCTGGTCAAGTCAGTCACCCCAGCACTATTTAGACTTCCATTGTATTCATCCTAGTTGCTGTCAGCCTATGTCTTTCTCCTCCACCAAACCATGAACTCTGGAGCCTGGGACCCAGCATAAATAGTCCACAAATGTTTGTTGAGACAATGTCACTCATGCCCTCAAGCCTGGAATATTCTTTCTAAAATGTAAATCTGAGCATTGTGTATTATGTCCCTATTTCCTTCACGTCTTGTTATAGTGGCTTTCTTTCTGGTCTCATCTTGCAATCCCTCCTTTTTTCTACTCCAGAAACACTGGAGTTCTTCTAATGCCCCAAATGTGTTCTCCCTTGTCTTGAGTCTTTAATGCATGCTTCCTCAGCTCTTCTTTGCTAGACTAATGCCTAGTCATTCTTCAGAGTGCTTACACAGTCCTCACAAAGGCTTCCTTGATCCCCTCCTCACCCTCGGACTAGGCTGAGGGTCCCACCTGTGTCCCCATCACACCTTGTACTTTCCAAGTGGCAACATGCATTATTCTGGGCCAAAATGACTTGTCTCTCTTGCCTGCTAACCTATAAGTTCCTGTCTCTAACTTGCCTACCAGCACGTCCCTAACCCCAAACACAGGCTTGGAAGGGAGTAAGTACCTGAGAAATCTGTGTCAAATGAAAGTTAGACATATTAATTTCTCCATCATAAACCAATAGCTTTTCATTGCCTTTAGTACAAAGAAATCACAGCTTTAGGATCCTTTATGATCTGGTTACCATGTATTTTCTGTTTCATCTCTTCCAAATCCACCCTTTGGTCTCAGGGTCTGTCTCAAACTCTACACAGCAGTTCGATCAAATTGAATGAAGGTCCTCGATGCTGGCTCTCAAATCTTTCAGCCCTGGCAACCCTAGTCTAACTGCCAGGCTCGGTTTTCTCCTCACCTCTCACTCACTCCTCTTCCTTTTCTAACTAATATCCACTATTTTCGATTAGACTCCTCTTTCTCTAGCAGCCTCCTTTGACTTCCTAAGACCAGCTCTGGTGCGCTTCATGGGTACCCTGTATTGTTCTGGGCTTCCTTCTCACCACTGTTCCCCAAGTAGATGCAATGACCATCTGAATTGTGTCCCCAGTGTCTCTAATTTGAGCCCAGCTCCTGTCCACAGTAGGCACTCCAGAATTATTTGTGAAATGAACTATTAGCAAGTATGTCTTGTCTTTCAAAAGTAGATTGCAAGAATTTCCTGCATTGCAGTGAGGGAAGCCGAAGTACTTGTGGGTCTCTCCCTAGGCCGGAGGTTAATACCTGTCTCCAGGGAGCCTGATTTATGCTGCTTGGAGATTGTGCCATCAGATACTTGATAATTGTATTAATCAGTGGACCCATGGCTTAAAGTCCTCCAAAACCTGAGACTGGGATCATGGTAACCTTAGACACTGGTTTTCAAGAGGGGACCACAGCTGCTTTCTAACAGCCCATACTGGGAACAGGCCAGGCACCTGGTCAGTCTCTGCAGATATTTGAGGAATGAATTTTAGAGCAGTGACAATGTAAAGAGGCAAGCTGTGCTTGTTCATCTCACAATGTTCTGGGCTCAGACATTTCAACGGAATGGCATGGTTATAAGGGCTGAGGTCATGTATTCACATTCCAGACTCAAGAGGAAAAGAAATATTTAAAATCTCAGAAACGGTGGACAAGATCTTTTCGATAATGATTCAGTGGCTTCAAACTAAGAAAACCAGTTTGCCTTCTCTGGTAAATAAGCTGTACTTAATATAATAGCTGGACTCAAATGAGACAATTTTTTAAAATGTGACCAAATGCAAGTTGCCACCCAACATGAGATGCAAAAACAGACTCTAAATTGGCAACATGAGACATGGACCCCTTACTGTTCTTGTAGAACCACAACAGAAGATAAGACTCACACTGCAAGTTCCCAAAGGCTGAGAGCAAAGAAATGCAAAGAAATTTTGAAGACAAAAGATTGAGAGGCAGCATTTTAATATATAAACAGTCAGGATAGGCCAGTCTTGCTGTCCCAGGTGTGGTGTGGCCCAGCAGTGTCAGCATCCCCTGAGAACTGGTTAGAAATGTAGACTCTCCAGCCCCCTTCCCTCCCAGACTGACTGAGCTCTAATAAGATCTCCAGGTGATTTGTATGCACATCAAAGTTTGAGAAGAACTGGGCTAGCACATTATTAATGTAGGGTTCTGCTCTTAAAATGTGCTTTGAGGTCAAAACAAACCCATTTAAAGCATTTTAGATCATACTTTGCTTCATCCTCTCTGAGCAACACTGTCACACATCAGTGTCCTGCTCTAGGACTTTTGAGCCTCTCTTTTGAATCACAAGTTGTACTGACATTTGCTGTGCCATTTGTGTAGACAGTCTTCATGGATTACAAATTGGACCCTAAGACTTCCATCGGCTGTTCCTCGCCCAGCACCCCCAGGAGTTAGGTTGTATGATAACTTCCATTTTTAGAGGTGATGAAAGCGGGACCATGACTCACTCAAGGGGCATTAAGCAAATCTGTATCTGAATCAGATGAGAACTCAAGCATTTGAGTTGCCAGTGTGAGGCTCACCCAACTATGATGTCTTTCCTTTTTATACAAGAGGGTTTTTTTTTGCATGAGATTTTTTTAAAAAGAACAAATTCATAGATAAAGCCATGCACACAGTGGCCCCTGGGATTGTGGAAGTCTAAGAAGGAGCTTTTCAGAAGAGATATATGTCTGTGCAGAATAGGCCCTACTGGGCCCAGCCTCCACATTCCTGCTGCAGCCCACACTGGCAGGTTCTGCATCCAGGAGCCTTGGAAACCTCAGAACCTCATGAGGGCTCACAGTCCGTTCATAAAGGTGGAGTGGAAGTGATCCAGGATTACTGTGAGGGCCTTGGGTACTGCTGCTTCCCAGGTGGCTCAGTGGGTAAAGAATCTGCCTGCAATGCAGGAGACCTCGGTTCGATCTCTGGGTAGGCAAGATCCCTTGAAAAAAGAAATGGCTACCCACTCCAGTATTCTTGCCTAGGAAATCCCATGGACCAAGGACAGAGGAGCCTGGTGGGCTACAGCCCATGGGCTCACAAGAGTCGGACACGACTTAGCAACTAAACTACCAAGGATACTACTACGAAGAAAAAGGTGGCTTCTAGATGACATGGACCTACCCTGAGAAGGATGCTCACTCTGATTCATTTGTTTCTTTCATAGATTTAGAAGAGCTTATGTAACTGGGCTCTGCCTAAATACACGTGATGTGCTTCACTAGTTTGGATAACTTTCTATTTAATTTCAATTTCCCTGGAGCAAAGTGGAGCCACCTGATGACTTGGAAATGGTCAAGACTGTGTATCTGGCACTGACACCAATGTGCTTCTTCCTACCTCATCTGAATTTAAGATTTCTCTGTCAACCCCAACTAAACAGAGGCCCCAGTGGGATTTGTTCAGTTTCACCTGCCTGCACGGTGATTCTCCTTAGGTCCTCCAGAGAATGACTGCCAGGGCAGCTACTTAAATCCCACCCCTTCCCCACCCCTCTTCTCTAGACATGCATGTCCAATGGGACATCTTCATATATAATTGATTAAAAAACAAAAAGACGGTACACTTTAAAATTCCATGTAAAAAGTATTGCTTTGCTACTGTGCTCCTGCCTGCTTGCTCACTACACGGTGTGGCAAAGGGTAGAGTCACGAGGAATTCGAGGCTGAAGATGTTTGGGAATTTTTTTAGCCGACACCAATGCACGCTGCACCTTGCACCCCTCTACAGCCCAGAGTTTTGGGGCCTGGCCTAAGGCAAAAACTACAAAGCATCCTAATGAGCAAAATTATACAACAGGAATGTATGTGCATATTTGACATTGTTTCTTCTTTTCAGGCGCAGCCCTCTGGCTATGACCCATGCCCTCTCCAAGGGCGAGGGAAGAGTCCAAACAGTGCTTCTTCTGTTCACAGCTGCCAGCTCTTCCACAGCCCCTATGGCCCCAGGGACCGGCCCTGCTTCGAGTGGGCCCGAAGCAGCCCTGCAATTTCCACATGGGCGGGCGATTTCAGAGCGATGGACAAAGCCGTTCGGCCAGCCTACAAGAGAGAAAGAAAAGGAAAAACAAATTTTTATCCCATCTGCTTCCCACCGCAGAAAGAAAGGGTGAGTTGGGAGCCAGAGATATATACAGGGCATGGAAGTCTGTTTCAAGCATTCTCAGAGGAAAGCAGGAGACTCCAATGACATGAGGATCACAGAAACGAGCTCCCTTCTGTGGAAACAGCATTCACTCCTGGGAAATCTGTTCCGATCAAAATAAAGAACTGTCACTTGGTTTTTAACACTTTTTCTTTTAAAATCAGAAAACAGAGGGATGAAAACAACTCTTCCATTATTTCATTACACAGACCTAAATGAGAGGTAGCCTTTTGGTGACTTTCCCTCCAGTCTTTTCTTCTATGCAAATGTGTGGTTGGTTTTTACGTAGAGGAATGATCATGTGTATCAATTTTGAATGTTGCTTTTATTTTTAACTCACCATAATATGCTATGAGATTTTCCCTGCTCTTACACAGTCATCAGAACATATCGTTTTTCTTATCCACTGTATAATATTCCATTATTTACTGAACTATTTTCCTTCTACTGGAGATTTAGGTTGTTTCCAAGTCTTCACCATCATAAACTTAGTGCATTCCTAATTATTTCCTAAGGATCAAATCTTTGAAATGGGCTTGCAACTAGGAAGGGCACATTCATTTTTACCTCTTGATATTTAATACCATGCTAACTTTTCTCGTGACAGTTGCAGTGCAAGGAGCTGCATCGTGCTATCTGAAGAAGCTGCAGGCAGAGCAACTCTCAGTAGGCAGCACCAGCCCTTCTCTGCACAGAGATGAGGGGAAGGGCTGCCATGATGCAGTAGGCGCTGAGCTCCATGAGGGCTCCAGCCCATACCCAGAATTATGAAACCAAAACAGCTCCAAAACCCACTTTTTTGGCAACTCGTTTGGAGGCAAAATCCAACCTAAGGTTATCTCTGGTCCTTACTTAGCCCATTTAAATGTGTGAATATTTTTACATCTTGCAGCATAAACATTAATAGGTTGACACATGGGGGCCACCCAAGACTTACTAGAGTGCTCTCTACTGCAGATGGGGGAAGCTACTTCCCAAAATGTGGAAATTCCACAGGAGCAGGTAGGAAGTGTTTACACTCAGCTAAAACCCCTTCAGTCTCTTCTCTGAGTGCCAGGATGGAGTCTAGCTGCCACCAGGGCCCCACACACATGTAATTAACTATAATGCATGGCCAGAGGTCAAACAAGCAGCAGAGAAGCAGAGTGAGCTCCAGAGAGGATGATCATCCTGTGTGTATGGGGGAAGGGTGGGGAACAGGCAGAAGAAGCGGCGTTTCAGCAAACAGGCTTCCCCAAACAGACAAAGATGAAGTTTTCCCTGAAAAGGCCTCGTGACTCTTATCAGTCTTTGCAACTTGATATTTGTGGGGTTATTCGACAAATTTCAGTCCCCATGAGGTCAGACACTGGATCTGGCCTGTTCTGCTGGCCCAGCCCCTGGCCCCATGCCTGTGGTCTGGTCAGTCCTAATATGCACTGTTGAAAGAGGGAATACCAGTGACATTATAACAGAGTATTCAAGTTATTCAATAACTTGAGCCACTTGAATCCTAACGAATATGCCCCTAGACTGGACAAGTCTGGAAAAAAGCAAAGATGTTTCTCAGAGGCATCTTGTGAAAGCCCCACAGAGACACCCAGGGTTTATTTAGGCCTGTCCCCTGCCGCACTTCATCAACACAGAGGCTCCACATAATACAAACACAGTGTGATTGACCGGGCAAGAGTCACAGAGTCAGTCCCAGGGGCACGTGCAACTTTGACAGGGCCCACCTGGAGATGACAGCCTACATCTATGAGCTCTTCAACTGCAGACATAGAAAGTGGAGGGCCCCATTCAGTTCAGAAAGGGTGGCCAGAGAGACCTCCTGGGGAGGGTGTGCCCCTGAGATGCCTTTGCCCGAGCACTGGGAGCAAGTCCATGGCACGCAGCTCTGGTGGGAGTCAGGAACGGCAGGTCCCTGTTCAGCATCACTGCAGGCCCAGAGAGATGGCAGGGGCTCAGGCAGCCAGCACACCTGTGTGTGTGTGTATGTGTGTATGTGTGTGTGTGTGTCTGGTGGGGGGTTCTCTTTCAATATGACAAGAACTCAACAAGAAGCCACTGCATATCAGGCAAAGATGAGCAAGGCATAGTCTCTGCCTTCTAGAAGCTCTCAATTTAATAAGTGTTTTGGAGGCATTGCCCAAACAAGCCTTTCCAAGTGTGAGCCTCGGGGTTGGGGGCAGGCCTCCACCCTCACCACCACCTCCGCATCCTTATCACTCTGGCTGCCCCAAGAGGCTGGGTGATCAATTTCTCCAATTACCTTCCAAACTTGGGGAAGACACCTTGCTGGCTGTTCTGGGGATTCTGCATTCACAGCAACCTTTAAATGTTGGCAGGATGAGAGAACCCAATTTCAAGACATGATTTCTCTCTCAGTTTTCCAACGGCGTACCTAAGTCTCCATAGGAAACTGAACATTGAAACGAGATGGTGATCATGATAAGGGCTGGACGCCACACTGCCCCCCCTCCACGCACAGCAGGAGGCACAGGGCTTGGTGCTTGCTGGGTCCTCAGTCAGCTGTCCCTATCTCCCACTGACATTTCTCACCCAAGACAATTTGAAAATTCCTGCTGGAAAACCTCAGCAGGCAGTCGATGATTGATTGACCTCTGTGAGCTGGGGTCTAGAACCTTCTGTGGGCCTGCTGACTGACTGCCTAGGCAACCCTGTGCTCGCTGGGCATCACCTAACCCTCTCCACCCTCCCCTAAGATGGGTTTCTGTCACCATCTCCAGTTTAGCTGCCCCATTCCTACTTCCCCAGCTTCCAGCCCTCCCCCAAACTGCAGCCAGCCTGGTCCTCAACCCTGGTCTGGCTCTTCCTGATCCAGCATTTGACTTGGATGACTTCTCATCCAAAAAGTTCAGTACTTCAGTAATGAAACTGTATTGTAACAGTATTGTAATTCAGAAACCTATACCAGAGTTTCTCAGCCTTGGCACCACTGACATGTTGGGCCAGATAATTTGTAATTCTTCATTGCTGCCGTACATTGTAGGATGTCCAGCAACATCCCTGGCCTCTACCCACTAGATGCCAGGACTGACCCCTGCACATACTTATAACAGATAAAAATGTCTTCAGACACTGTGGGATCTTCCCCGGAGGGAAAAATCACTCCCGAATGAGAACCATGTCTCCCTTTGAGGACCAGTCTTCTTTGATTGTCCCCTCCTAACTCTAGACCTTCATCCTCCCTATTCCCTCCAGACACGGCCCGCAAATGCCCTGGTCCCTACTCATTCATGTAGCGGCTGCTTTATATTTGCTATCACGGTTCACCTATTCACAACAATAACAGTTGCCATTAACTAAATATTTCTTAGCTATCTAATAGGGGCTTTACAAATGCTACCATATTAAGGTCTGGTCTATTACTATCCTCATTTCAGACAAGCATACGGAGGCTCAGAGTGGTTAGGTGACCTGCCCAAAGGCACAGTTACACAGCCCAGTTTCAAACTCATGGGTGTTGAAAAGTCCATGCTTCTAACCATCACTCAACTTGTTGGAAGAACCATGGAGTCTTCCTGCCACGGCTCTTCCTCCACCTCCTGGAAGCAGCCACCGAGCTCTCTAGTCTGCGGCAGGCTCCGCGAGATACCCTCAGTCTCACTGCCTGAGGATGCCCGCTAACCAGGGACTTGCAAAGCTTCTGTCCGCCATCCTGCAGGCCTGCCCTCTCAGGCCTCCTCCACTGCCGTGGTTACCCCTGAAAGGGCCCTGGGCCTGTTCCAGATTAAGGGGCCACCTCCTTCAGCCCCAGGCCAACCCTGCCGGGAGCTCACTGACACAGAGCCTTTGTCTGACTGTATCCCATCTGGAAAAGGAGGCTCTTATTTTCAGAGCCCGCCACTGTTCCCACAGGCATTTCAAGAGGGTCTGTGCTCTCCACTGATCACAGAAATGACTTTGAACAAGCTGGGGTTCAGGGGACCTGAAGACAAGAGGCGGGTCTGCCTGCTGCCTGAGTGTGGTGGAAGGGACCTGGCAGCTTGAGTCACTGATGGAACAATGGTGGGGAGTTCAGAGGTGACCCAGTAAGAGAGGCTGTCCCTGGGTGAGAAGCGGGCGCTATTTCCCTCCCCAGGCCTTTGTCCCTTTTGAACTGTGGATGCTAAGAAAATACAGAGAAGTCTGTTTAAAGCATTAAATTACAATGCCAGCATTAAGGACACTGGAGTCACACCTGGGTTTGAATTTTCACTCCAAGAATAAGAAGCTTGTGACCTATAACTGCTACATAAGCGCTCAAGGCCTCTGCATCCTTGTCAGTACAAAACAGGGATGGCAGACTCTACCTCACTGGATCTTCTGGATATTTATTGATTGGTTTATTCATTTATTTATTCATTTGGCACACAGGATCTTCAATTGTGGCATGAAAACTCTTAGCGGCAGCATGTGAGATCTGATTCTTTAACCAGGGATCAAACCCAGGCCCTGCACTGGGAGCATGGTGTCTTAGCTACTGGATCACTAGGGATCCTGGATCACTGAAGTCCCCTGACTGGATTATTGAGATGATTCATGAGGTAATGCAGAGAAAGAGTTAGTTTCTATGAGTGTCCTTAGGAGTCTGATGGAGCTGGTTCTACTAGCTAGCTGTGTGACCTTGCATATGTTACTTCACCATTTGGTGCCTCGGTTTCCTCATAAGTGAATGGGTGGCATCAACAGAGTCAACCTCATAACGTAGTTATGGAATTTAAACAAGATGGTCTGAGGTAACTGCTTGGTATGGTACCTGGCACTGAGCCAGCACATGACATGGGTTAACCCTTCACTACTGTTATCTCATTATGGTCACCACCACCATCATCACCATCCTCATCACTGCCCTCACCACCGCCTTACCAGAAGACTGTGTCTGGCAATGCAGCTTCAGGCAGGGTGTCTCCATGAAACGGGCCCCTCTGTAAGGCGGGCCACTTCCAAGGGGGGATATGATTTTCACATGGTTTCTTCCTCCTGCCTTTTGGGAGCCCCGTGGACAGCAGAGCTTCCCTGCTCAAGCTGCTGCCTCAAAGGACACATACTGTTATTGCCATGATCAGATGTGCTTCAGGGCTGAGAGCAGGCCTGGACATAACCCCTCAGAATGGTGTAAAAGGCTAGAGTGTTGGGTTTCCCAGCCCCAAGTCTCTCAGCATTTACATGGGTCATCTCATTTAAACCCAAGAACAGCCTTATGAGATTAATTCTGTTGCTACTGCCATATGCTTCCTTGAATCCTGCTGGCTGGCAAGGTACTTTTCAGGAAGGAAAGTGAAACATCCACTTGTTAATTGCCTATAAGTCTCACCTTGTCAGTCAGGCTGCTGTCGCAGGCTGGATGTGCCAGGAGCAGCCGTACCATGTCAGTGTTGCCATGGCGACAGGCCAGCATGAGGGCTGATGATCCATCATGGTCCTGTAGGTTGACATCTGCCTGGCAGCTCAGCAGAGCCTGGACCATGTCCTCCCTGTCGTGGCTGACTCCCAGCATCAACGCCGTCTGGCCTCCCTGCACACAGACAGCAGGGGTGTGGTCAGGTTGTGGCTGATGGGAAGGACCCCCTCTATAGCCTACGTACAAGCAGGAAAGACTTCTCTGGAAAATGATAGTTGATCTGAATCTCTGTGGTATGGGACGTATCTTCCTTAGCCTGGCAAACTTCTACTCCTCTTCCAAGACACTAGTCAAATGCACATCCTCTCTAAAACCCTCGACTTACACTCCAAGCACAGCTTTCATAACATAGCACTTACCATTTGGTTCTGCAACATGTCAACCTCTGTCTTTCTCATGGGCTGTGACATCTTTGATGGCAGGGACTAAGTCTTTTCCAGCACCTAGTACCAAGTACGTGCTGATAAATGTTGAATGATGGAATAAACGGAGGGCTTAAAAGTCAGGAGCACAGCTTCTGACTGCCTGCCCCAGCCTAACTTCCTCTAGGAAGCCTGGGATTGCTCTGAACGCCTCTGATATTTTCAGCTGAATGATACCCAGAACCCCCTTTTCTCACCAAGCTCTCTGCGTGGTACTATGGTCATCGCTAGCCCACAGCCATTGACAACAATCTTTCACTTGCTTGTAATAATCAGCACACATAGCAATGGATCAGAGTCAGAGAGTGAGACAAAGCTCTGGTTCTGCTGTTTCCTAGTGTGTGGCCCTGGCCACATCCTGGTGTCCCAGAATCTTGGTCAGTCTTGGTCAGAGTATTTGTGAAAGTCAAATGAAATAAAGGGTATAAATATAAAAATATGTGGCAGATATTTTTTCTGATAATAAATTGATCATCATTTCCCCTGGATTTTCCTGTATATACACAGTACTCTTATACAACTTGACTATATATTTTGCACTTATGATTCTCTCCTGGGTTCCAGGCAGGTCAGGCGGGTCTCTCTGACTGAATGTCAGGCTTTAGAAGGTTGTAAGAATGAGGTAAGGGCTCTGTTTTCTCTCCCTCAGATCCCCTGCGGCTCTGAGCGCAGTGTCTTACAAGTAAAACATGTTGGCTGATGTGTTCACTGATTAAGGCTCCAAAGTGCAGTCACTGATAGATTATGTTTCCCTGCCCAGAAGGCTGGGGCTTAGAGAACAGTAAGGGGTCTGCAATCAGAAAAAGGCTGGCCCTGTCACATACTGCGTATGTGAGTCTGGATAAGTTAACCTCTTGGTGATTTTTGCTGGCCTGGTAAAACAGGAATGCTTAAGGGTATTACCTACCCCCTGGGGCTGTTGTGGGACCTGCATGAGGCCCAAATGTCATGTGTGTGAAAGTGTTAGTCACACAGTTGTGTCCCACTCTTCGTAACTGTAGCCCACCAGGCTCCTCTGTCATGGGATTTCCCAAGCAAAAATACTGAAGTGGGTAGCCATTCCCTTCTCCAAGGGATCATCCCAATCCAGGGATCAAACCCAGGTCTCCTGCATTGCAGACAGATTCTTTACCATCTGAGCCACTAGAAAAGCCCAAATATTGTATACATTTTAGCTATTATTGTCTTTATGAGTGTTAGAGATAATGTCTGACCACCATGGGAATGTATCGTTAGGTGTCCTGGTTCCCCATTTCTCTGGAATGCAGATCTTTCCAGAGAAGACTCTTTGCTCTTTGGTTTGCTTATGCCTAGTCCTGAGGTAATACTTGTTGAGTGTACTAACCAGACCACAGTTTTCCCTCCAGGCCCCTCTCTCCGAGTGGTATGAAAGCCAGATGTCATATACAGATGTCTTCCTGTCTGCCCACTGCCTGACTTGGGACCCTTTCCTTCCTCACCTCCCTCCTGGTCTGGTTCCATACAATTTAATTCAACAAACATTTACAGAATACTGTTATCAGCGCGGTGCAGTGCCAACCCTGGAGATACAGAGAGAAATAGGTAGCTTAGCCCAGGAGACTCCTGGCCTTTCAGCTCACTCCTATCTACCCTGATGCCTGTGGCTCCCTTAATACATAAAACCCCCTGGGGGCGCTGAAGAGCCCGGCTACAATGTGTAATCCCTTCCTTCCCTTGGCAAGGTGGGATGGGTCCCTTATTCTCCCAGAGCATCGGTTTCTCCTCTACAAGAAGCGCATATATTTTGATCATTAGTGAGCATTCTGCCTTCAAGAGGGCCCATTGAGAAAAAAAGATTTACTATGTTTATGGAAAACATTATTTGAAGTGAAAACAGCTTTACGAGTCCTATGGTGTAAGCTATAGGTGAGTGAAAACACTTTAAAAACCAGAAAGTAAGCTATAAATGCCTGATTCTTGCCACCAATAGGATTGCTATTATGTGAAGTGGGCAAAATGACTTTGCCATCAGGTTTAGCTGCAATCACTTTGGGCTGGGGTGGATAGCAGAGTTAAATGGATTGTTGGGAGACTGTTTTCTATGGTATCTCGGTTTGCTGCAATCCGGTGAGTGAGGCACTATCTGGCCTTTTGTTTCACTGTCTTTTTAAGGAAGAACGTACAGTGAACAGCATTGGAAGACAGAGGTGGTGTCTCCTTCAGAACAGAGGGCAGTCATGCTCACTATCCAGTATGGAAGATTCAGGTCCCCCTAAGCTCAGGGTTTCTCTCTAGTAACACAGCCCCCTCTGTGCACAGGGGTCTGCTCCTCCTCACACCACCCTGTAGCTATTAGGACTCCAGGAACAGGAATAAATAGCGATGCTCTGACTACTGTTACCACTGTGAGTACCACACTGGCCTTTGGCATAGGAGTCCTGTGTCCTCTGCCAGCATCCATGACACTGTGGCAGCTAACTTGTTAGCTTTAAGGGAGAGTACAATCTCAGACCCTTCATAGTTCTTGAGAGTAGGGCTACACCCATGATCACTCTAGGGGGAAAGGAGAGTGGAATGCACTCCACTTATTCTCCTCTTGGTCAAAGATGGGCAAGTGGCCTTTTGAAGAGTTCCCACTGTTCCACATGGAGCTCCCTCTGACTCAAAGCCCTACTGGCTAAGGGTTACACCTTGGTTCCATATTCTCAAATAGAAGGGCCCTGCAGCTGAACAGAGAAAACCCAACCCTCGGAACTGCTCTATGATTCATGATCCCTCTATGTATCACCTCCAGGGGCTTTCTAGATCACAACCAGCAAGTGCCTTGTCCAGATGCTATCTGTGGGAACTTTCAGTTCAAGGAGTCAGGCCCAGAAGGAATTTGCCCTGTTTCAGCCCAGAACATAGATTAGAAGTTCACAACCTCTGTCCCAGCCTGTCTGGGCCTCAAGAGGCTCCAAGGAAACCAGAAGTCCAATCTTTAGATAGATGCCACTTGGAGGGCCCAGACTTCTCAAGCTAAAAACTGGATCTGCATGGAGTTCCTTACCCCACTGGCAGAATAAAACTAGGAGGAGTCTGCATTCATTAAAGAGGAGATCATGTTCATGCCTCCTACCTGAGTAGCTTGGATGTTCACATTCCCTTCTCTTAAGAGCTTCCAGACGACAGCCATGTCTTCATCGGTCTCAGCAGAAGCCAGGGGAGTGATCATCACAGCAGTGTAGCCAGCTTTGTTCTGATGGTCCACGTTGCAGACACCTGCAAGAGAAACACTGATGCTAGAAGAGCTCTTAAAATGCCGGAAGCCAGGCTTTAGGCTGTTCAACAGGAGGCTTCCTGCTGGCTAAACGGCCACAGAATAGAGCAATTCTTTCCCAGTGGTAGCATCTGTATTCTACATTTTTAGCAGCTTTTAACAGTGGCTACTTTTCTTTACAAGTTTTCTGAGGATACCTAGCAAAAAAGGCGCAGAGGAGAGTCAGAGATGACCAAGGCCTATGATCTTACTTTATCTCCTAAAGTGGGGCACAGTTATTCATATTTTATAGATGAGGACACTGAAGGTGAGTGAAACTATATCAGTGCCCCAGTGAAGGAGAATCGAGGGCAGGACTCACTCAGTGTCAGGTCTATCTGACGCTAGAGCCCGTCACTCACACAGCCTCATGTCGCCCTCAGGTGTCAGGTCTTGCTCTGTATCTATGCATAACTCATAAACTACTGGCTGTGGTTGTAGGTCCTTTCAAAGGCCTAGTGATATCTTGTGAAATGGATCAGAGGACATGAAAAACGTCCCAGGATAAACCCAGAAATCTTCTGGGAATAACTAACTCATTTGAGCACAATAGAAAAATACTTCACAAATGTTTATATTAAAGCAAGTAAGAATATACATTTCACAAGAGAATGAAAAACTGGCACATTTTTAAGATGAAGTATTACATGAGAACTCAAGGGAAATTTCTGCTTCATAACCCTGGGGATAGGCATTCACATCCTTTCCCACCAAAGGAGATGGAGGAGATCATCAGGCTGTTGTCTGAAGACTCCCACCTTTAAAGGGCAGTTGTTGTTGCTTAGTTGCTTAGTCATGTCCAACTCTGTTGTGACCCCATGGGCTATAGCCCACCAGGCCCCTGTCCATGGAACTTTCAGCCAAAGACTACTGGAGTGGGTTGCCATTTCCTTTTCCAGGGGATCTTCCTGACCCAGGGATCGAACTCACGTCTCCTGCATTGGCAGGCAGACTCTTTACCACTGAGTCACCAGGGAAGCCCTTTAAGGGGTATACAGCTTGGAGAAGGAAATGGCAATTCACTCCAGTATTCTTGCCTGGAGAATCCCACGGACAGAGGAGCCTGGTGGGCTGCAGTCCATGGGGTAACAAAGAGTGGGACACGACTAAGTGACTAACACACACACACAGCATGAAAAACTAAATCTTGCCTGTACTACTGCTCAGGAGAAAAAACTATGTGTCTCTTTAGGCCAGTAATAAAACTATCTCAGTAGAAAAAGTCTCAGCCTTTCTTAGCATTTCTTCTGTAAAAGGGAGATGATAAAAGGACCTGTAGGTTACTGTGAAATTTAATGAGTTAATATATTAAGAACACTTAGAACGGCAGCTAGCACATAATAAACACTCAATGAGCATTAACTGCTACTGCTATTATTGTCCAGAACGGTATTCCTATAATCACATCCTTGCTACTTGCTCTTGAAGACTCAATATTCATTAAAACAAATCTGGTTTATGACAAAATGTCAGTGAGATTTACTCATAAGTTCTGTGCAAGGGGAAAAAAATAATATTTGGCTGACAGTCCCTCCACCCCAAACAACTCTTCAGAAATGTGTCATAATGGACCGGGATGCCAATGGATACAGTTGTGCTCATGAATCAGCAGTTTTCCTCACTGAAGCTTCTCTGACCACTGTCATGACCAGCTGAGCTGTGAAAGGCAAATATCAGCTCCATTCAATGCCTTATAGCCCTGTTCTGATAAAGACGGGAATAGCTATCTGCATTGCCTGGTTGATGACTTTAAAATTTTTACCCCATGACTATTTTATGTTTGCTTTTAAGATGTGTAAATGAGCCTCAGGTTTCGACTCTCTATGCTCTCTTCAGAAATGTGACCTATAACTCAGCAGAATGACTAATTCCTCCCCAGGGGCTCTGAAAAAGGACTGAGGACACCCCACTTTCAAAGCAATGCTTCTGAGCAGCTCCAGTGAGCAAACCAACCTTCCCCAGAGGTGAGGGGCAGACTCTTGACTGGACATTCTCCGAGTCAGCCAGCTTCTCCTCTGCAGGGGGGTCATGGTAAAATAGAGCACGGTTCACAAAGGAGGTACACCCACGACTCTGTTCTCAATAACGATGAGTCACTTCGGTGCAGCCTTTTACAGTTTGTAACGTGCTCTCCAGATTCTGCACAAATGGCTGGGAAGGGAGCCCAGTTGGGAGTGGGACAGATCTGCCCTCCTCAACACCCCTTCTACAGTGAGGGAGAGGAATAGGACTTTCAGGCCGTCTTCCCAACCAACCCACCCCATTCTTTATGCTTGTGGCTGTTTAGCTATTTCAGCATGTTAAAGGGAAAAGCTTCCAAACCACTTTATGGTTGATGAGTATTGACTGGATCTCAGAAAACATCAGCAGAAATTTATAACAACCAAATCAAAGGTGATCTGTTCTTTGCGACCCCATGGACTGTAACCCACCAGGCTTCTCTGTCCATGGGATTTCCCAGGCAAGAATATTGGAGTGGGTTCCCATTCCCTTCTCTAGGTGATCTTCCTGACCCAGGGATTGAACATGCGTCTCTGAGTCTCCTGCATTGGCAAGAGGATTCTTTACCACTAGCACCACCCAGGAAGCCTTTTAAGCAGTAGTGTTGCTGTTATACATGTTCCATAATGAAAGGCCCTAAGACTGAACACACTAAATGGAACCCAGAGGCATAGGTGGGTGTCTTTCTCAACTGAGCTACCATTTTGATGGTATCCATGAATCCACGAAGAATGTTAGAAATGTAAATTTATCTTCCTCTGATGACATGGGATGCAGAAAGAACTTTAGGTTATCATTATATACATCACCTTTCCATGCACATAAAGAGCCTCAAGGCTACTTAAGAGAATTTTGAAGAATGGGAAACTTACTGGAATTTAATCTAACTCCCAGGGGTCATCCATCCACTCTCTCATCTAACAAATATTTTCACTCAACAGCCACCATGAGCCAGGAAGTGGACCAAGTGCTGCTGATACTGAAAGGAATGAGACAGGCAGAGCCTCTCCTGGGTTAGCTCAGTTCTATTAGAACTCAGATAGACGTGACAAGCAGAGATCACGTAAAGAAAGAAACAGGATGTTCCACTAGAGAGAGATGGGGCAGCCACTTTAGATGGATCACCTTCCGAGGTGACATCTGAGCTGTGACTTGAACAATGAGAAGGAACCAGTCATGAGAAGAGTTTCAGGTGAAAGGATCTGGATGGAAAGAAAATGCAGAAGTCCCAAGGAGGGAATGAGTGTGGTGACTCTGAGGCCATGTGGCTAGAATGGAACGAAGGAGGGTACATGGCGGCTGCAGAGAAAGGAAGGGCATCTGGGATACCTGAAGGCCAGGCTGAGGAAGCCGCCTTCTGTTCCAAGAGCGAGCAGAAGCCATGGGAGGGATGGAAGCCGGTGGAGGGGTGAGGGGAACAAGATCCACATTGCAGGAAAGTTGTTGGATCTGGAATTTGGACTTCCTGATGCCTGTTTAAACTTCCCCTGTGGCCTCTAAATTAGGATTACACATCTAGCATGTGCTCTGATTCCTGGATTCCACAGTATGGACTTCAAACCCCAGCAGTGCACTTAGTAATTGCTTGATCTGGAGCAAATTTGTTGACTTTTCTGAGCATCACTTTCATTGTCTATAAAAAAGGGGATAATCATTCTACTAACAGGATAGTTATGAAGACTAAATGAGATCTCAGGTGCCAGATACTTAGTAGAGGGAGGGCCTAATCCATGGAGATCATCTGGGGTTTTATATCTCTTGTAGGTTCCATGCTAAATATCCTTCATACAGCTTTCCTAAACTCACAGGTGACATGTGACTGGGACCCGCACACCTTCAGTCGGTCCTCTCACCCTGCACTCATACCACCACTCCTAGACTGCTTGACATTGTCACACAATCTGTTGAAACTCCACTACAAGCCTTGTGGTAGCGTATCAGCAGACATAAAGGTCTTTATTTGACTCTTAACTGCCTTTTCCAGCTCCTAAGAGAGTCAAGGCCATTTGCAATGATTCTCCACCAGAGGGAACAGTCTTCCCTTTCTCCAAACCCTGAACAATTAAGAACCTAATGCTCACTTCCCTTTTCTCCTACTCAACATCTCTCTGGACCTTCACCCACCTCACCTCCTTTCCTTTTGCTTCCATCTCAGAAAAAATAAATATCGCAGCAGCTTGCTAGGTTGATCTCATGAATACATGATATAATAAAAGGCAAAATGGTCTGGCCAGCTCCTAGAGTACAGGAGGAATTCGGAACAGTAAAAAAGCTCCTTGCTGCAAAGAAGTGGTAACAAGAACTGCCCTTCACAGAGGGACCCAGTCAGCAGAGGCACAAGTGTTCCTGACCTGTCTCCAGCAGCAGCTTCACGATGGAGAAGTTAGAGTGGGACACACTGTAGTGAAGAGCTGTGTTCCCATTGCCGTCAGCCAGATTGACAAGCAGCTTTAGCAAGTGTGGGGAGTGAGGCTGGACCCCGCGGAGGTAGGCGGCCACTGCCGCAGGGCTGGATGACTTCCGGCTGGAGATGCGGAACCACTCTTGACTGATGGTGTTCAAGCTCTGCTTCTGAAATACCAACACATTCCAATTCCAGAAGGTTACCTACCGAGGTGCTCCAGCTGGAGTGTCAGTTTCCACTGGGAAAGGTCAGCTTAGGTTCCTTCCACGTATATCCCTTCAATTCCCTCCAACTCTCGCTGCGATTTATTCCTGGAGGGCTCAGAGCTAGCAGGGTGTGGGGTACACAGCACCACTCTTTGAACCTGTGGGATTGGCTCCCCCATCATGTGAGGCAGACAGGAGGACTGGGAGAGCAGCACAACAGCCAGTAACCTGATGCTTTACTTGGGGACAGCTTGAGTCCACTGTTCATTTAGCTCACATTCCCCATAAGCACAGGATAACCACGACCCACTCTTTCACACATTTACACCAGCCCGTGTTGACTCTAGCCCAGACTCCACTGGGGCACCTGCACGTTTTTAACAGGCATAGCTGGAGAGTCACATTAATGGGGAAAACGCACACTGAAGCTAAGACAAACAACATGCCCAACATGTGCATGAAGTAAAATCCAAGCAGATGTGCTTGAAACAGTTTTGGCTTTGAAGCTTTGCTGGGACCTTCAGAGAAAATGGTTAAACAGCCCATGGCAGGATCCCACTATCTGCAGTATTCCAAGTAAGGAGAATCCCAGAGCAAATGACACCAACTCTGCACGTGACATGACCTAAGTGCTTTAAATGGAATGTGATTAGATTATTTTCCTAAAGGGGAGGAGAAAAAATGGGCCTGTGATTGTAAGAGATGCGTTCATATTCATTCCAGGAAGGGCACTGGATTGGGAGACACTAAACTTGTAGGGCCAGGCTTAAGTCCTGGCTCAGCTGCAGAACCTTGGAAGTCCTAATACATTTTGAATCCTACTCGTACTATCTATAAAATGAGGGTGAAAAAGGGCTTGGTTTCCAACCTCTCAGGCTCTGCCAAATGAGGTCCCTGCACACACTGCTTTGTCTCTAAGGTAGGGAGGGGTGTTCTCTGCTTTGATCCTAACATGTGTGTGATGTCAAGTTTGCATGTCCTCTAATTTCTTTTCTATGCAGAAACAGTGGACTCTTTTGTGACTGAAACAGTTTTTATATATCAGAATATCTCCCTTACGCTTGGGATCTTCAAGAGAATCTGGAGAAAGACCCTAATATTAAGGAACATAGGGGAAGATTTTAATTGAAGATCTAGGAAATAACTTAGCTCTGTAATTCATTGAAGAATAAGTAGCAGGAGTTTTAATCAATATCCACATCACATATTGGTTCTTTAACAATCTGGGAACAAGTTATTTGCCAAATCAGCGAAGATAAAATACTAATGAAAATGGACTAATCGATCATTTTTACTCCTAAGGCTTTTCTGCAAAGGAGAACAAAATGGGCCTTAAAAATGCTTACACAGTTACATATTGGGGCTTATCTGTGGCTCTCACAACATGGGAAAATGCATCTGTATCAGTACCTCTTGATTCAAGCAGAAATTAATTCTTAAATGTTTAAATCTCTGTGGGCCATGATGGTGTTAGGGAGCAAACAGATGTATTTGCTTGCTTTTGGCCTCTTGACCCACAGGTGAACTTCAAGAAAAACAGTCAAGACTACAGAACAAAATGCCAAGGCCTGAGAAAGTGGAGACATGCAGTTCACCACCTTCATTTTATTAATGAGGAAACCACCACTGAACTGACTCACTCAGCATCTCACAGATGGCAGTCCAGGGAAGAGAACCCCAGTTTCCATTCCACCTTCTCTTTTCCTCTCTACCCGCAGTTCTATCAAACTGTGAGGTAATTTTGAGCCTAAGCCACAAATGATTCCATGACATATTCAGGGTGGGATGCCTGATAACGTTTGGTAAATGCCTCTGAGCCCCAGCCCTGGTTCCTGTGCACATTCACGGGTTCCACTTTCTCAACACAATCCATCACCTCGGGCAGCAGAGTTTGGGCAAGTGAGACAGCACACAGCAAAGAGGGATCCCAAGCACACCCACAAAGCTGCCTCAGTTGCAGGACCCAAGTCGCTCAGGTGGAACTAACAGCTTAAACAGTATGGAAAGCTTTACATGACGGTGACAAATCAGAGTACCAAGAGCTGGTCAGTGGTCGTCCCAGTTTCTGGCAGATGTTGGCTCAATGCCCGGCATGCATTAAGGAATTCTTCTGAGGGTTTATATCTAAAGAAAAAAATTAATTCATATATATATATATCAGTCTCCATCTTGATAAAAGTCCCCTACCTTGAATTTCACTCTCATTTTTTACTTCTCAGCAACTCAGACATCCAAACTAGGCAACTTCTCAGGGTCAGGGGCATTCCTCAGAAACACTGAGTGAACACAGCCTCCTGTCGGACAGGGCTGACTTCTGAACTCTTCTGAAGAATGAGCCAAGCATATTTCCCTTTGGATCCTGCTGTTTTCAGGGTACGAGGTCAGATCACCAAAGCATTTTAGTGGGCCACGGGCCCCACTGTCATTCCTGACATGCTGGGAAAGGGAGGGTTATCTTCCTGAATTTGGAGCAAACATTTTCTGCCTGAGTGACTTGAAAAATCCAAAGGACCCACTCCACAGCAGCAAATTTCTTCAGGTTATTCTTCCATGAAGGATATAGTAAGCACTAATAGAGTCAATCAAGTGAAAATTGATAGCACCAGGGCTCTCTCAATGATACCCACTATTGCTGCACTGGCAAAGGGCAGGCTTAGCACTGAGAGGCCTAGGCTGGGAGTCAATGGCATTGGTCACCATGAAGCTCCACTTTCATCAAGTCCTTACAGCGCTGCTATGATGGAGCAGCCCTGTGGCCCTGCTGGACAGTCAGCTGCCGTTCACTCCCGTCTCTTCTTCAGCAACCAGGCTGGGGATGGTGATAATGACAATTAATGGTACTTACTACTCTCATTTCTCCCATTTACATGGAGTCTACTATGTGGCAGGCACTGCACTAGGCATGTTACATACTTTTTCTCAACTAGTCCTCAGACCAAATCTATCAGGTCGCTACTATCCACATTTTACAGAGGGGGAAACTGAGGCAACCACAGCTTAAGTACCTTGTCTAAAGTAACACTGTGGCAGATGTAGGATTTGAAGCAAGTATATCCAACTCCAAAGACAGTACTCTTGTCATCATGCCAAATGACCTCTCATCACTTTAAAAGTCCAGGTTATGTCAGCATGGCCAATGAGAGAGGCAGAAAAACACGCGGGAGAATTATGAAAGACCTAAATTGAGGGACTTCCCTGGTGATGCAATGGTTGAGAATCTGCCTTCCAATGCAAGGGACTCGGGTTTGATCCCTGGTTAGGGAACGAAGATCCCATAAGCCATGAAGCAACTTATCCCATGCCATGTAACTACTGAGCCTGTGCACTCTAGAGCCTGCGCTCCACAACAGAAGAAGCCATAGCTAACCACAATTAGAGAAAATCCAATGCTACAATAAAGACCCAGAGCAGCCCAAAAGAAAGAACCAAAGTTGAAATACTCTGCTAGTTGTGTCACCTAACTTCTCTAAGCCTCTCTTTCTACATCTATAAAGTGGGTCTTCTAATAATTACTACCTTACAGATTGTTAAAAGGATTACATCAAGAAAATGCATGTCAAGTCCTTTACATTTTCAGTGCTAGAACCATGTTAGCTTTATAGGCAGAGCTCTGTCTATGACAGTATAATCCATGAAGGCAGGAGTTAGATCTGTTTCATTCAACCAGTGCATAGTACCTGGCATAGACTTGAAACTCAAATAAATACTGTTGAATAGATGGAGAAAGTGAAAGTGAAAGTGTTAGTCGCTCAGTAGTGTCTGACTCTTTGCGACCCCATGGGCTGTAGCCTACCAGGCTCCTCCATCCATGGGATTTTCTGGGCAAGAATACTGGAGTGGGTTGCCATCTCCTTCTCCAGAAGATCTTCCCCACCCAGGGATCAAACCCAGGTCTCCCACATTGTAGACAGACAATTTACCGTCTGAGCCACCAGGGAGATGGATAAACGAGTTAACAAATAAACAAATGACTGGATACAAAGGTGAATAAATATGCTTGCTCTTTCTCAAAGGATCATGTGCCCATCGGTCCCCATCTAACTTACCTCTCAGTCTTGGGATGGGGGAGCTCTTCGCCAGGCCCAGTTTCCTGGTCTGTGTCATGGGTGCCCTCAGGGGCGCCCTGGCCCACCCTACAGCTGAGGTGGGCATCCTTGCCCCGCCTGGGTTCTGGGCCATCACATTTCTTCTCAGCCTCGCTGTCAGACAAGTCTTCTGGGGAGCTGTCCTCACCACTGGTCTCCTCACTTGAGGTGGTCTCATAGCTGTGGAAGGAGACAGGGTCACTCATTCTGTGCTTCCTGCCCAGTGCTCATGTCAACACAGGTGAGAACTCGGTGGATTTTAGATAACACTGGCCTGCTCACTAACCTTGTCGTTTATTCTCTATATCTGCAGGCCTCAGCAAGGGGACTCCCAGGAAATTTACTGTCAGTGGAACCTGCTTTTAAGAGCTCTAACACTAGAGGCCATTTGGGGAGTAAAGGTAATTAAGCTTTTTGCAACAAACGTACAAATAGCCCATGGCCTAATTGGCCATGCATTCAGATGCAATCAGATGATTCAGACAAGCAATCCAAGGTTCTCATGAAAGTATTTGATTCTGGAATCCTAAGGTACTGTACAGAGAGGGAACCAGATCTAGGCAAACAGCCCCCATCCCTGCCCTGAATTCTCTGAATTGCCTGACAAATCCTCATATCTCTGGGTGATAGTGAACCCTCCCTTTAGACCCCTGTTCTAGCCTAGCTCACCCCTGGCAAGGGAAGAACCATCTGTGTCTACTCCTGGGCCACAGCTGGGAATCCAGAAACTAGCACCTGCCTTTCTCAGTTGCTATTTCATCCGCAGCTCGGAAGAGGAAAGGTGTGGGTGTAGGTCACTCGTGGCAATAATCCTTATGTTCAGTTACATGTAACTCTATTGAGGTGGTAGACCAGACACCATGGAGGAAAGTTCTGGAAGACTTATTGATCTCTCTGCTGATGGTCAACAAGAGACCTCTGATGGAGGATGCTCCAGGTAAGAGGAAGACTTCAGATTCTTGGCCCGCTGGACACTTCCACAGAGACGAGGTGAGACCAATGCCATGCTTTCTACTGAATCCCCTCATGCTCTTTCTCTGAATAGTGGTCCCTATGTAAGGCCCCTATGCTGACTGGATTTGCAAACCAAACCTGCTCACTGGTATGCTCGCATTTTGTCTTGTTCAAACCCCAGATATTTCTTCCTCTACTGTGCTTGGAACAACCTTTTGTTTTTGTGATTAAGAAAGTGGGGGGACATATTAAATTTACCAAATAGTTCTTTATCTTAGAATTGCTTCCATGAAAACTCCAAAATCCCTGTCCTAACTGAGCTGAAACTCTAAGTAGGGGGTGGGAGAAAATAAACACATGAACAATGCATTCAGATAATCGTAAGAACAATGAATAAACTAGTAATGGGCCATGGGATACTGTGGTGGGAGGAAGAGCCACTTAATTTAGAGCAGAATTTTTTAACATTGGCTGCATGTTAGAGTCATCTGAGGGTACTTAAAATTTCCAATAGCTGTACTGCACCTGAGACTAATTAAACCAGAGTCTTCCATCTGGGAGGGGCTCAGGCATTGATATTTTTCAAGGCTCCCCCAGGGTTTACTAGATTCAGTCAAGGTTGAGAACCATCACACCAGAGTGACACGTACTGACAGTTATCTGCAAAAGGGTCACTTTTTTTTTTTAATATTCAATATCCTTGGATAAACCATAATGAAAAAGAATATTTTTAAAACAATGCATAAAAAAATTTAAATATATGTGTAAAAAAAAGAAAGGAGCACTTTAAATGGTGTGTGTGCTCAGTTGCTCAGGCATGTCCACCTCTTTGCGACCCCATGGACTATAGCCCACCAGGTATCTCTGTCCATGGGATTTTTCAAGCAAGAATACTGGAGTGGGTTGCCACTTCCTCCTCTGGAGGGAAAGGCAAATGCAAAGTCCCCAAGCTCAGCCTGACCCGGCTCGTTTGAGTTAAGAAAGGCCAGAGCCTGTGGAGGTGGACAAGGCATGCTATAGTCACAAGACAGACTTCCAGGTTTTAGTACAAAGCTGGCACTTTTGCAAGTATTTAAGCAGGGGAGAGGCAGGACCTGCTTTAGGCTTTGAGATTAGGCTGATTCTCCTTTCTGGACACAAGCTGGTAAAAGAAAAATGTGGTTTCTCCTGGGCCACAATATCTGACAGCTGCAGGAGTGGGAATAGCAACCCACCTATGACCCCATTTCATCTTTTCTGATGTTTCCCTCACAGAACCTGAAACAGTAGTGAGGACACCCTTGTCTGAATCTGGTGTCTTCCTTCTGGTCTGACCCAAATCAGCCAGGGTTCCAATCCCTTCTGGACACTTCGCAGGCACATCCCTGGCTGGGCCCGGTGCCCCGGCTCTGGGCTTTCCTACCATCCTCTGCTTCTTTCTCAACTAGAGTTCAGCTCAGCCGGTCCAAGTTTTCTCTTTACTTTTGTTTCAACTCTGCCCAGGTCCAAACTGTGAGTTAAGGGCAAGGACCATGATTTATTTGAATTTTTTTATCCCTACCATCAAACACATCATTGGTATTTAATAAATGTTCGCTAAATGACTGACTGAGAAAGTATTCTAAATCCAGCGGTTTACTGTCTACCCTATATAAGGTCTGGTTCAAGTTCTGAGTCCACAGACATTGGTTGTTTTTCTTCATCCTAAAAAACGTCAGTTTGATTTGCCCTAAGTTAGTTAAAGGAAGGAAAAAATTAAAAGGATGAAATTTTAAATTCTACAAATTAAGGGTTTGTCGACGTAGTGTTGTGGTTCAGATTAAATGTCTTCCTTCAAGGGCTCATGTGTCCCCCAACTCCCAGAAGGTACTGAATCCTGGCCCCGGGAAACCAAAGCCAAGACATATTATGAGCACAGGATCCAACAGAACTACCACGTCTGGCAGGCAGCCAAACATATGCAAACCCGAGAGGGAGTTTTAAAGGGCCGTTGAGATTAATTCCCTTGAAGAAGAATGAAAACCAGATGCTTCCCCCTAGGAAAAGAGTGTTCAGGACAACAGTGGGAGAGGTGGTGTGCAGGGCAGTCTGGGCTTCACGAGTGATGCTTACCCACCGTTAACCCCAACAAACTGAAGGTTCTTTTTGGTCCCATTACCTCCTGCACGGAAGCCATAGTCTTTCTTTTTCATTATGGATTTAAGGCTGGTCGACGGGGAGATCTCTAGGCAGACACAACATCACAGGTTAGCACAATCTTGGGAATACCCCAAAGTGCAACAAAACTGTTGACCCTTGCTTTGAGGGGACACAGGCTGGAGGTGTGTGAAGGGGTAGAACGGGAACTAGACAATATAAATCAAATATTCTGAGGGTCTTTGAGGAGCGCCAACCTTCTGGTCAATGCTAGTCAAATTGTTCCTGTTTATAAACCCTCTACATGTAGATGACAGAGAAGGGTTATTGGAGAATTGTTGAACCATGTGGTGTGGGCGCCACTGTTGTCCCTATCTCAGTCTGGGGAAATCTGAGGCTCAGATGTGCTGAATAAATGAAAGAACAGCAGCAGGACTTAGGCCTCCCAACCCCAGATCCAGCACCCACTTTTGCACCTCAGAGGCCCTTCCTGACTCACAAGTCGGTTAATACTTGTGATGTGGGGCAGGCATGGAAAACACATGAGCAAGAGCACACATCTTATTTTGCTCTTCTCAAAGGTACAGGGGGCAATTCACAAGGGCTAAGACTAGAACTAGCACCAAAATAATGAGAAAGCCAATTTGTGCTCTGCGGCAGGAAGCAGACTAACACATTGCTGCCCGTTAAGCAAAGCAAAATATGGTTCCACTTAACAGGGAAGAGTGTGTGATCTGTTACAGGAAGAAGTGCTGCTCAGCCAAAGGGTCGACTTGCACATGCGAGTATGGAAGTCTCTCTTTCTCTGTCTCACACACACACACTGAAATTCAGTTAAATATTTCAGATCTCAACAGAATTTCTTCCAAAACAAGGCTACAAAAAACCTCTAATGTGCAAGAGCTAGGGAGCACCGCAGGAATGCAAGAGCCCAAGACACAGTTAAGGAAGGCAGAGGTTTAAAGCACTCACAGCCAGGGCCAGGGCTGCCTGCACACAAGGCAAATGAGAACGAGGCACCCCTCTGGGCAGACACAGTGCTGCGGGCTTGGCAAGTGTGGGCTGAGTTTCAGCTCCCATTTACCCACTGGCATCTTTGTGCCCTGCGCTATCTGAACAGCTGTACGTGGTGGCCCTGCAGTCAGTCCCAATGTTAGAGCAAGGACAAGAGGAGGAGTACCAAGCCTCCACTGTTACAGAGATCAGTTTTTATTCCACTGGGCTCCCGGATGTGTTCAAATCTTTTAAAAAAACATATGCATGCAATTAAAACCCTTTTTCCCCTTTGACTCCTCAAGTAAAGGAGAAATGGCTCCCAGTCTCAGGCACCAGTATTTACCCATCGGTGGGGAGGAGGAGGGGCCGGGGGGCTCCTTCTGGGGTGGAGCCTGGGCCGAGTAGGCAGACAGAAGCAGGTTGAGGGAGCTCTGTAGCTGGCTCTGGATGCTGCTGAGCTTGGAAGCAGGCTGCTTGATGGCGCGGGCCAGCTCAGGGTACCCATGTTCCAGGCAGCTCCACTGCTCCTGCAGGAGTTCTTGGATCTTCTTAACGTACTGCCCAATAGTGGCATCGGTGGGGGAGCTTGGTGGCCTTCCAGGACGCTCTTTCCCCGACAGCTCTGGACCAGCCTCCTCCCTCCCTGCTGGGGGAGCCTTTCTCTCGCCACTCCCTGGAGATCCTCCTACTCCCCTGCCCAGACCCTTAATTCCCACCGAAGGACCTCCTGCCTGCTCAGAACCTCCCTCTTCGATCCTGAGCTCAGTAGAGAGGCAGCTGTGTAAAGAAGGCATGAGGACTGTCTCAGATCCCTGTGGCAGTGATGGCTGGGGTGGTGACACAAGTCCTGCTGGGCTCCCATCCTCTCGTTTGTGACTTTCCCACCCCCACAGGAGGCCATTCCCCTCTCCCCTGGCTCCCCAGCTTTCAGAGCCCACGCTGCCCAGAAGGCTGACCCCAATGCTCTTGTCACACGACTGTCTGGTCAAGAGCTCCTGCAGAGGGTCAGTGTTGACCACAGCATCAGTCTGGCCCTGAGCATCTTTGGTGTTCCCACTGCTAAGCTTTTCTACCAGTTGAGCAACAGTGCACTCTAGCTCTTGAATCCTCTGCCCCCTCGCCTTGATTTCCTCTTCCTGCCGCTGGAGGGCAGCTCTGACCTGGGCCAGTTCCTCAGTTCTTCCAAACAGCTCGCCTTCAAGGTCCGAGATCTGCTGCTTCAGGCTGGAGATGCTGCCAGGATCCAGGGAGGCAAGGCCCAGGCTTTCCTCCGTGACGCGGATCCCGATGCTTCTCACGTCCACCTCTACAGGTGGTGGTGGTGGGATTTCGCTGATGTTGAGCTCGATTTCTTCCAGGGGGAGCTCATTTTCAGGCATGGGTGACGGCAGAGGTGGGGGGCTTGGTGTTAGAGAGCTAGGGGTTGTGACCACCACCTGGGCTTCTCTGCTTTTCTGTTGGTCTTCTGCATCCTCTAGAACTACAAGTGCATTCTGGGACGAGAAAGGTGGACTTGCATCCTCTAGAACTACAAGTGCATTCTGGGACGAGAAAGGTGGACTCGGGAAAGAGAGGTGATTTGGAACCTCTTCTTCGCCTTCTGGAGGCTCAGGCCCCTCCCGGATCAGCTCCGGAATCCCTGGCACTAGGTCTCCAGACTCTCTGACTTCCCGTTGGGTTGCTGCTCGCGGCGTGGAGTTGGAAAAACCTGCAAATCCTTCCGCGGGCCCAAAGGCACCATCACAGACAACGCCTTCGCCCTGAAGTGGGGGGAGGGAGGGCGGGGTGGGGGGTCCTGAGTTTAGGCTTGGGTCCTCCGAGGCCCTGGTTTGCAGCAGCGTGGCCGGCATGCTGGATGCTCTCAGAAGCTGGGGCCGTCCACTCCCGGAGGTGAGCTCAGCCTCCCCGGGAGCAGCAGCAGCCTCCAGCTGTCTGGCCGTCTCCGTCAGCAGGGCCTTCCGGTGGTAGCTCACCTCACTGCCGCTGGCGGCTTGTGGGGCTTGGGGGTGATCCCCGAGGGACAGTGGCTGGGCTCGGGCCTCTGTCCCCAGCACTTTCCTCGACACCATGGGGGACCAGTTCGGGCGGGAAGGAACAGCATGAGGGCGAGCCCCGCTGTCGGGAAGGCTGAAGTTTCGGGGCAAAGTGCTGAACTTGGCCTGCTTGGCCCTTCTGTGGATAGGAATCCTTTTGATGGTGTTTCCCTTTTCGATGTCATCCACATACTTGAGGAAGTCCAGGTCCAGGTGGAAGCCATATGGGGTCTCCACGGAGTAGGGGTGGCTCTTTGGAGGGTCTTTCTCTTCATCCCCCTGAGAGGACTGGTCTTTGGCTGGGAGGCAGAAGGCATAAAAAAAGAAGCACAAAGTTAATAAGAAATGCAGGACGGTGAGACCTCATATGTGTGGTTTTGACTTAATGCTCTTGCATGAGTGTTCTCCTAAATGTTCCAGCCTCTGAATTATGCTGAATGTTCACGGACTTTTGGCTGTGCTGAGAAACCCTGTTATTAAATCAGTGTGGACTTAGTCACTGTCTGCAACGAAATAGGTGAAGGGAATAGTTTCCAATCTGCACTCTGTCATCTCAGCTATGACTGTGGAATCGGCCTGCAAATCAGAAAAATAAAATAGTCTCATACCATTTTTTTGTGGTTTGAGTCATGTAATTGCTGAATTGAAGTAGCCAGGAATTTGCCAAATCAGGGTACTAATTGGTAATTGTGAATATGGATGTTTTCGCAGGATGAGATACACAATTTTCTCAACATTAAAAAGGGAACCTTGCATTATTCAAATAGGTACTAGTAAATCTTGCTAAAGCCAGAGATATCACGGAGTCATGCCTCCTACATTATTTAAGCTTCCTCTGATGGCTGAGCCTCTAGGTATGTGAAGCTCAGAAGGAAAGGGAACATATAGTTACACTCAGCTTATACGCTCTTCACCAGAAAACTGCATGGTACTCAACAAACAAGTTTTACTTTCAAAAGCTTATGCCAGGTAAGGAAATATCACGTTTTTCACAAACTGGAAAAAAAAAAAAGTGGTGGTGGAATATGGGACAATTAATGTAAAAAGAGACACTGGCAAACTTCCTCCAAGAGGTGTGGGACTCGTGATTTTTCAGGGCAGCCCAAAGTATCAGGGAATAGCACAATGAAAAAGTTCTCTATCATACCAAAACACCACTGATCTTGACTCCAACAGAGGATGCTGAGAACAAGTCAGTTCTTTGATTATCTGGATCCATAGGGATTTGTCTCCAAGTAGCCTCTTCCTCGGGTTAAACAGTCTTTGTCCTTTTGATGTTCCTCATGTGACACCCCTTATTATCTCTGTGACATTCTGCTAAACATCCTCTGGAAATGCTGAGCTCAGGAGAGAACATTATTGAAGAGCACAGAGGCCAAAAATATGGACCCTGGAGCCTGGTCTATATCTCAGCTTTGTGACTTTGGGGAAATTACTTAGCCTCCCTACATCTAATCATCCGTAAGATGGCAATAATAATAGGGAAGATGAGATTGTGTGGACTGATTGATTAATACATATAACATGCTTAGAACAATGCCTATCACATGATAAACATTCAATACACACTCAATATTTTAGTTACTCTCTTTGTGGAATCCCAAATCATAGAGAACTGAAGCCCTCTAATGGAAGCTGATTTGCTGGGTACATAGGAGGGGATCCTCAAATTCTTTTGTATCTAATTGGTTGCTTGACTCTAAGAATGATCGGCCCTGGGGGCAAAATGACAAAATAGCAGTAATTCAGTTCACTTACCTCAACCACTGATTTATTGAGCACCTGTGTTGGTTGCTAAGATAGATCCTAAGGACACTAGAGATAAATCAGGTATAGCACTGCTCTCAAAAAAAGTATGGTCAAGTAGGAGAAACACCAACAAGTATGATGCAATGTGACAAGGATGGCAACAGATACATGCTCAAGGGTCAGTCTTCCTTCCTGACTTATTTTCCAAGTTTCTGCAGAACAACTTTCTTGGACTTAGAGGTTAATTCTGCCTTGGTTGGAGAGAGATGACTTCACAAGAGTGAAGCCATGTAATTGGGTATTAAATGAATAAACAGCAATTAGCCAGGAGAATAAGACAGTGAAGGACATTGTGGCTGTATATTTCCAAGATGGCCATTATCAATTCCTACCTTCTCTAGGCAGGCAAGGGAGTCCCATATAAAGACGTGGCATCTATTTCTTCACCCTTTTGAATCTCAGCTGGCCTGTGAGTGCTTTGACCAAAAGAAAATGGCAGAAATGACACTGAGAGAATCCCAAGGCTAGCTCATAAGAAGCCTCTTAAGTGTCATGTGGGTCTCTTAGGATGCACACTCAGTGGGAAGCCAGATGCCACATAAAGGGATCCAGCATCCCTGAGACTGCCATGCTGTGAGGAAGCCCAAGTAGCCCCATAGAGAGTTCATGTGGAGAGAAGGAGAGAGATGCCTAGCCAGCCTGAGCTGTTCCAGACATCCTAGCTCAGGTGCCAGTATAAGTAAAAGAACTTCCAGATGACTCCAGCCTCAGCCCTCATCTGACTTCATTGATAGGAGGGACTCCAAGTGAGAACCATTCAGTTGAGCTTGTGTTAATAATGCATGATTATTTTACTCCACTGAACTTGGGGATGATTAGTTATGCAGCAATAGATAGCCAGGACAGATCAGATATATGTCAGAAAATGAGCAAATGCATTGAGGTGTAAAAAGTGAAAGAAAGTGAAGTCGCTCAGTTGTGTCCAACTCTTTGCAACCCCATGGACTATAGCCTACCAGGCTCCTCCATCCATGGGATTTTCCAGGCAAGAATACTACAGTAGGTTGCCATTTCCTTCTCCAGGGGATCTTCCCAACCCAGGGATCAAACCCAGGTCTCCTGAATTGCAGGCAAATGCTTTATCTTCTGAGCCACAAGGGAAGCCCCTTGTGTGAAAATCCACGGTAATTCAGGGTTCTGTAATTGCAGTCATATGGATGAAACTTAAAATGTGGAAGAGAAGGGTGAAGAGTAGGAAAAGACAAAATTGGAAGGTCAGCAAGACCCAGATCAAGGAGCCACTTGCATGCTTGCCACCAAGCTTTGACTTTACTCTCTAGGCAGTGGGAGCCATCAAAGAGTTTTACACAAGGGAGTGACTTGATCAAATGTGACTTCACAGTGATCATTCTCACAGAGGATTAGAAGATGGACAAACCAGAAACCCAAGGACCAGTTGGGAGACTGCTGAAATGATCCAGGTGAAACAAGCTAAGGGAATGGAGAGAAGGGGCAGGTTCAAGAAGAGATGCATGTGATGGCATTACCTGGGGCACATAGGACTGGTTTTTCCTTAAAGGTGATGACATATTAGGGCTGAGCTCTTCCCACTTGCCTGTGTGATCTATCCTTCTGGCCAGTGTCACATGCTTGGGGCACAGGAACTGTGCTTATGGAAGTACAATTATCTCCAAAGAACTAAAGAAGTCAAGTAGACACATGAAGTCTGAACCCTTGAACACTGACACAGTTGACCCTACCAGCCTCAATGCTAAGTAAAATCTCAGGGCCTGTGGGTGATTAAGTCACAACAGGGAACAGAACAAGCATTGGTGCTGATCTACAGGGTTGGGTCCAAGTTGGGTTCCAGAGCTTCTGTGCAAATACCTGGACTCCAGGCAGAAAAGGAGTAAACAGTCCTCCAATATCCAAAAAATTCCAACTAAGTTCCCATTCACCCACATATTTTTTTTTTTTTTTTTACCAACCTGCTTTTCCTCAAAGAGGCACACTGGTATCTCAATAAATGACAGCAACTGTTCTCTGTTAGTTCACCAGCTGCACTCCGCTGTACTCTGAAGCCTACTGGTCAACTTAGCAGCCTCCTGGACTTCAGGGACAAGCCAAATCAGAGAGGAGGTATTTGTCTAAAGTTAAACAGGGAGCAGATTTATGACCCAGAAGGCAAAGAACACTACAAAGGAGAGACTGCATTATTTATCTGCTTATTGCCTCAATTCGGTAGAAATGCAGTGATTTGCCTATCAGCCTCCGGGAGCAGGGCCAGAGCACAAATACAAAAAAGGCATCAAATGAGAGACAGCAGATTCAAAGGGGAAGTATTCCACAAGCGAGATTGAGGTGAACCAAAGATGTCTGTAAGAGTGTTACCCCGATGATGGCTTTAATAGGTGCTTCCTAAGGTAGGGGTATATTTCTCTCTCTGTCCCTTTCTCACACACACACACACACACACACACACACACGCACATTGCACCGCTGTGCTTGCCACCTACCACTCTGTGCTCCTTCTCTTTCTCCCAGTGCAAGAGGAATGTTGGACCTTGAATGAAGGATCTTGATCTGATATACTGGGAGATCTGTGTTCACATTAAGTTCTGCCCCTTTTAATTCTACCTGGTGATAGGTATGCAGGAGCTCAGAATTCCAGGCATTGGGCCAGGGCAAGAATTAATTAGGAGAGCTGTCTTCTTGAAATGAACTTCAGATCAGACACACCAACACATAGCCAAACTGGCTGGAGTTGAATCCTGCCTCTGTCATCTCCTACCTCTCTGATTCTGGGCAAATTACTTAAATTCCCTATGCTTCAATCTCTCCATTTGTAACACAGCAATAACGATACCTAACTCAAAGAGTTGTTGTGATTGTAGGCACTGATGCAGCAGAGAACATGACACAGGGACTCAACAAAGGGGCCAAAAAACGAGGATGCGCTGGTTCCGAATGGGGCAGCGGGTATTCACTGAGCCTGAGCTCTCTCTTGGAGTATTTAACTCTGTGTTAGGATGACAGCCTCAGGAGGGAGTGAGAGTCCAAGAAACCAACTCTGAAGAAACTGGGAAAATGAGTCAGGGGAGAAGGAGAAAATAGGATATATGAGGCTCCAGTATTCTTGCCTGGAGAATTCCATGGACAGAGGAGCAGGGCGGGCTCCAGTCCATGGGGTCGCAAAAGAGTCGGACACTACTGAGCACCTAAATGGCAACAAATATGAGGCTCAGAGCCACCTAGAATTCTCTAGAGTCTTGGTCTGAAAGCCCCCAGATCACCAAACCTTGAAAAGGAACCTGCAGACGCAGTCATGAGCGGAAGTTAAACACAGACGCGAGAACAGAGATTAGAAACAGACAAGGAAAGGAGGGAGGTGCCACAGTCATTGCCCTGAGGGACAAAGTGAAGCGCAGCGCAGGTAAGTGAATCCATTAGAGGCATTTAAAATGATGCGGAATCCACAAGTCAGTTCTATACATCTGAGTCTCTTTTTCTGTGTGGACTCTGGGAGAAGGCGAGGGTGGGATGTTTCAAGAAAACAGCATTGAAACATGTATATTATCTAGGGAGAAACAGATCACCAGCCCAGGTTGGATGCATGAGACAAGTGCTCGGGCCTGGTGCACTGGGAAGACCCAGAGGGATCGGGTGGAGAGGGAGGTGGGAGGGGGGACCGGGATGGGGAATACATGTAAATCCATGGCTAATTCATTTCACTGTATGACAAAAACTACTGTAATGATGTAAAGTAATTAGCCTCCAACTAATAAAAATAAATGGAAAAAAAAATAAAAAATAAAATAAAATAAAAAAATTTAAAAAAAGAAAAGAAAGCAGAAAACTCCAAAGACCAGGCTACTGGGAAAATGTAGTATCACTTTTAACAGCTGTTTAATTAAAAAAAAAAAAAAAAAAAATTTTGAAAGGAAAAAAAAATAAATAAATAAAATGATGCGGAAAAGTCCAAAAGCCTATACTCAGTTTCTGAAGGAAATGGGAAAAACAGAAATGAGAGAGAAAATGGCCAAAACTACAACCGGAAAGAAGAGGAATTAAACAAGCCTCCTCAAAAGGCCAAGACGGCAGAAACTCTTTTCCCTCTCCTGCCTTTATTTTGTGAGATGTGTGGGCCTGAAGGGAGGGCCGCCTTTCTCAGCTGGTTGTGGGTGATCACGTGGCAAGCAGCTGTGCCGAGGATGCTGAGCAGGGACAAATGAGGCAAGCAGAAATGACAGGGCCCCGGGGCATTAAGGGAATTAGCTGGTGTTCTGTGGGACCACTTCCAGGGATGCACTGAAAAGGCAGCTCTCTGGGGAGAGAGGCAGACTTTTGAAATAGATGGTAACTGCATTTGGAAAGGAGGGTATGGAGGGGCTGGAGCTGCTGTCCAGAATTTAAGCCCTGCAGGGCCATCTAGGCTCTCCTGTTTCCTGTCATTCAGTGATTTGGGGAAAAACACTTCATTAGAAGTCAGGGGATCAGGGTCTAGTCCATGACATTTGGCAAATTTCCTAGAGAGGGGAAAGGAGGAACACTCCTTGAGACATTTGTTGGGCTAGATAGTGATTACTCAACAACCTTACATGCACTATCTCATTCAGTCCTTTCCCATCCCTGTGAAGTAGATATTAGGATCTGCTTATAGATGAGGTGCAGCAGACTATTAACAAAAATGGCCACAATTATAACCCACCCCGTGTACTTCCCTCCCACACTGATCCTAGCTTGGCTTTGGGACTTGCTTTGGCCAGTGGGTCAACAGCAAATGTGACACATGCAGAGACTTGAAAGTTGCTTGCACACAGGAGTTTGTCTATTCTTACGGTGCTTGGGAACCCTTCTGTCAACAGGTGAACATACCTCAGCCAGCCTGCTGGACAACAAAAGAGACACGGCCAAATCATCACCAGTGCCCCAGGTGATGTGGAGTCAACCACCAGACATGTGAGTGTGGCCATCCTAAACCGTCAGGACAAGTCGCCCAGAAGACCACAGACACATAAACAAGTCCAACAGCGATCAGTCACGTTGGCCCAGCTCAGAACAAAGGCTCAGCCAACCCACAGAATCTTTTGAGAAATAATAAATACCTTTAAGTTGGTATTTTTTTTTTTTTGAGTGTTTTGTTATGCGTCAAAGCTAACTGACACATGAAGGAAGTGAGGCTCAGAGAAGTGAAATGCCTTGGAGGATCACTCAGGTAGGAATGTTGGCTCTTTTACCATATCATGCCACGTCTCTAAAATGAAGTTCATGAGGGAGGTCATCCTGCTCCCTTCTTGGTGCCAAGAAAGGATGAGAAACACTCCAAAAATTACACAAGTCCAATATAAACATAAGGCTTCATTTTCATTCCCTACCACCTTCTCTTGTTCATGCCTGAAATACATGGTTTGGGTTTCCCAGCACCGTCTATATGGGGAAGGTCTCCCATGTTTCCCCCAAGCCGTCCAGGATTACGGTAATAATCTCTTTCCAACCCAATTGCTCACTGTAGACCAGGGACTACAAAGGAGCCTGCCTACCATCCGTCTTCTCCATCTTAGGGATTGTTGACCGCCAGTCTCTCAGGTACTCTTCATCCAATAAGTCTGTACAATTCGTTGGAGAGTTCTGAAAGGAAGAAGGAAGGAAAAGTGGGGAATCTCATTACAGTTAGAATAAGTATAGAGGACCCCTCCTCACCTTTGTCCCAGGGTGCCCGTGAGCTCTTAGCCCTCCAAGGAGGGAGATTAAAAGCCTCTACACAATACCTAGAGTCCAATCTTGGGTGTGTCTTCCTGGGATGTTAGCAGTGGTTGACACCAAAGGAAGTCTCTGGTCCGACTCCCTCACTGGGCAGATGAGGGAACTGAGGCTTAGAAGTTAGTTGTTCTGTGCAACACCTCTCAGCATATTAGTGAAGAAACTGGGCCCGGGGCTCCAACAAATAGTTAGGTATGCTTTCCACAATATCAGGAGCTGATACCTACTCAGTTCCATCACAGAAAATGAATTCTAAACCATTTTGTGGAAAAGTTAGAACCAGAGAAGCTTCAAATGATCTGTGACATCCCAATCAGACTCAAGACAAAGGTGAACTAACTAGAAGGACTGACAAGGAGCTGATAGTTCAGCGTGATTTCTAACCATGGGCAGAACAAGGAGGCGTTCATTCGACCTAGGTGGCCAGAAGACATCAGTGACTAGAAAGCAGAATAGTCTCCTGACTCTGAAGTAGAGTCCCTTGAGGTTTGATCATAAATTCTCCCCAAAGTTTCAATCCTTTTCCAGAACTATTTCTTCAAATGGTAAACAACCTGGCTCCTGCCCCCAATATAATAAATCACCCAGGAAACTGACTTTTTATGATTCTAACTCCACACACATCAGAATAATAAATAATCTGTGACACCTCAGCAGTGGAAACAGGATTGTTTTAGGAATTCCAATGTGCTTGACCACAACCTCTGGATCAGAAAAACGTACCAGGGATGAGGGAAAGGCTGGGGGGAATTGGAAGTGAGAGAAGGATGACGGCAAGCCCCCAGCAACCTGGCATAAAAAATGGGGAACAAACAAGCAAACTGGGGAAGAAGGCTGGGAAATATGAGACCTGCCAAATTAAAGGAAGTCCGAAGTCTGCCTGATGGAAAGTTTGGTGTACACTCTCTCTGTAAGCGAGGCTACTGTCTCCAAAGCCATCACCCGCTCCTGTCTTGGTTTTCCCATAACCACAGTCCACTCAGCAGCCAGAGGGCCTCTGCCACTGCCGAGTGATGGAGCCTGGAAGGGCAGGCAGGGCTTCTGTAGGCAGAGACACTCCTTACAGGACGATCACAGAAACTAAGCCACTTACCTTGTGGCAACAAGTACTTGAACTGGGGGGCAGCATGGAGCTGGAGTAGAGAAATCAGGGAGAAGAAAGATAAATGCGGATTTATATATGTGGACTATATTTGGTCCTGGAGGCTAAGAGTGGGCACTAAGCAGGCAGACAATGGAAAGTCATGGAAGGTCCTAGGCAGGGCTGAGGGAGGACCACCCTTTCTAGAAAGAGGAAGTTCTGAAACCACCTACGTGTCCGTTAACAGATGAAGGAGTAAAGAAGATGTGGTGTGTGTGTGTACAGGTGTATACACACAGAGTGGAATATTATTTGGCCATAAATAGAAGGAAATCTTACCATTTGTGATAACACAAACATGTACAGTATTTGTCTTTGACTTAGTCCACTGACCATAATGCCTTCAGGTACATCTGAGGACAAATACTGTATGGTATCACTTACATGTGAAACTTCATTTTAAAAAAAAAAGAATTCATAGACACAGAGAATAGATTGGTGGTTGTCAGAAGCAGGGGCTGGGTGGGTGAGGGGTAGGCAAAATGGGTGAAGGGGCTCCAAAGATACAAACTTCCAGTTCTAAGATAAATAAGACCTGGGGGTATAATGTATAGCATAGTGACTATAGTCAACAACACTGTATTATATTTTTTGAAAGTTGCTAAGAGAGTAGATCTTAAAAGTCCTTATCACAAAAAAAAAAAAAACTAGGTGACATAATGATGCTAACTAAACTTACTGTGGTGGTCATTTCACGACGTATACAAATATCAAATCATTATGCTGGACACCGTATAAGATGTCAATTATACCACTACACAGTGTTAGATGTCAATTATAATTCAATTGAAAAAAGAAAGAGAAGGTTCCTGGGCAGAGGACACTGCTGCCCATCTCCGTGCCCCAGCTCTGCAGTCCACAGCCCGTGAAGGGGACTCCCAGATGCAGTGAGGCGGGGTGGGGCACAAGAGGCCCAGCAGCTTCCAGGTGAAAAGTGTGGAGGAAAGGGGTGGGGACAAAACCCTATACCTGGCCCCTTCATCATTACGGCCTCTTCTCTCCCTCTCTATCCCTCTTCCTCCCACCTCATAACATTACTGAGTAACAGGCAGAGCTCGGAGCACTTGGCATACTCGAACTACCTCATGCAAGCCTCACCATAACCCAAGAGGGTTACTATTGTCCCCATTTTCCAGATAAGGAGACTGAGGCTATCTACAGCCATACAACCCTGAATGCGCCCGATCTCGTCTGATCTCAGAGGCTAAGCAGGGTCAGTCCCGGTTAGTACTTGGATGGGAGACTGAGGCTGAGAGAGTTTAAAGGGCTGCCCCAAGTTACATAACAAGCCAGTGTTCGTGTAGGATTTGCTCTTAAGTCAAGTCAACTCCAAGTCTGTGCTGGGAACGAAAGTGATTTGTAAACATTTGTCCACTAATGTAAGCAAGCCTGATGACTGATCCCTAGCTCTTCTTTGTGAGGGAAAAAGTTCCTGACTCTGCTTCTTTGCTTCTCCCTCCAGTGCAGATGATGCATCTTCTGGGCAGGCACAAGGAGGACGGCTCCCTTTGTAAGTCCTTCTGGCCAAGTGCGATCTGCTTCTCTGAGGCTGGACACCAAGTAAGAAAGCTCCTCCTAAGAAAGAGGGTGCAGGTGAACCTCCAGCTGCAGAAACTCACCCTCACCTCAAGGAGCTCAGTCACACCCACTGCCCTTGGTTAGAGCTACAATTCAGTCCTTCATATACCAGATCATAGAGCTTCAAATAACTTTGCAGCATGCTTGGGGTCAAATTTCATTTAAAAAAAAGAACTCTATAGAGACCTCTAATCATTCCCTTAGACTTGAATTTTGTTAAAATTAGTCATTCCAAGGCAAGAGAAATTAAATGGAGCTGATACCCCAATTCTCTGAAGAAAAGGGCCAAGCCCTTTCACTCTAAAGCTCTAAAGAAAAGGGGGGACAGTCATGTCTACATCATGCCACTTTCAGCCCCACCCACCCCAGCCTTCTCCCCTTTGGCCCAGGGTCCTTACGGTGAACATCTCAGAATTTAGCTAAGGGAGTTTTCTTCAAGTGAGTGGATGTTTGATGTGGTTAGGGGAGTGGAATCAAAAACTAAATGCTGTATCAACACACGCTACTTTGTTTGCAAAACAACAGAATATGAAAAATAGCTTTGTTGGACAGAATTTCCCTTTAAAATGGAATTTTGCAACCTCCTGGAGCATTTAATATTTTGACATAGAAGCAATTTATTACATGTTCTGTTAAACTGCCTGCCCAGTGTTCGAACCTTGTAATACCTAGTGGTGTTATGTAATTTTTCATTTGTTTATGGCCTATGCCAGAATCGAGTATGCCCAGTTAGCTCCCAACCTCTCTCACAAGCTCATCATATTCTAGATGTTTTAAGTATATACAACTTTATCTTTTTCTAGTTTTTCTCCCCTATTAGGTTTGTGAAGGTCAGAACTCCTACACAATTCATTTCTGTAGACACTCCCCACCCTCTCCATCCTAACATGTGGCAGATCATCTCCAAGTTACAGATAAGGAACAAAGACACAAAAAAGCTATGCAGCCAATCCAAATTTATCCAGTTAATTAGGGGCAGGACTGCATTAGTCCACCCTGCCTCTCAAAGTCAATGTGCAGTGAAGAGATGAGGACTGAAGCTTTCGGCTCAAAATCGACCAAAGAGGCAGTCACTGGCAGATGGCAGTGATGGCCCACGTGTAACTACCAGGCCACGCTAGAAACATTTCCAGCACGGCCCGTGCCAGGAGCATGGATTTCCTTGGGTCAGCCCAACTCCCTCCGTATATCCAACTCCCCAGTATATCCCCACACCCTCTCCCTCCACATTGATTCTTTTTAATGATACCATTTTTAACCCCAAATCCAAATACAAAGAAACCTTCCTCTATTTAGCCCTGAAACTGAAACCTAGCTCTGTACTTGTGTTCCTTTCAAATGTCTCTTTATTCTGCAATAATAAAAATGCCATATTTCATCCCAGAACAGGCTGCATGCCAAAATAAATAGCACCTTGGATTTCCTTAAAAAGAAAACTTGGCTCAAAGCACAGTCTTATTGCCATGAGAATTCTTGGAGAATTCAACCTAACAAAGTCAAATATTTAGCAAGGTAGTGCACCAACAGTGATCTGTCAATCCCTGCACGACCTCTTGCAGAGACAAAAATGCTCTTTCCAAAAGAGGAAAAAATATTACTGATACCTGGTACCAATCTCCCCAAATGATTAGAGCTTCCCACTTCCCCGCTCCAGGGCCCCACGCCTCCAAGTGGAAATGTCCCCTGTGCTAAGAATCCGGAGGCATCTGATAGAGCTGCTTAAGAGGGCTAAAGCACAGGCACCCGGGGAGTGAGACGCACTCCTGGAAAAGCTTCCACCAACCGAGTTCTCCAGCGGGCTCGCTTCCCATCAACCCAGGAAACAAAGAGATAACTCACGCTCAATAAATAACACATTAACACAATCCCATTAACTCCATTCCCACATTTTTATGCACGTGTCTGTCATTTTTGCCTGCATTGCAGCAGCTGAATCTGGAGCTTCATGAAGAAGAGAAAACAGTCAGGAGGGAAGTAGTGACCACAGTACCTTCCCTTGGCATCCTCCCCCCACCCCAGCCTGGAGCCAGAGAAGTCACTTCCTCCCAGGGGCTCTGCTGCTGGACCGGAGCTGATTGCTCCTGAGCTCAGCAGGCAGCACTGGTTCCCTAGCTGTTAAAGATTTGGTCAGGTGATCTGTGACCTTGCTGGAAAAGCAAACACTGACTTCATTTTGGCTCTCAGGAAGAGGGGACTGGGGTCAGAAAGGAATTTGATGCTCAATAAGCTGATACTAGATCTTGCAGAAAGAGGAAAAAGCACAGATCATTCGATTAGAAAGTTCGTTCTCAGAGCTGCTAGCAGTTTAGAGGGATGCATCTAAAGATCCTGAAATGGTACACACCTTTCTCCCTGTACTCTCCCAGAGCTAGGCGCTCCACTGGGACAGGGGTCATAATTAATTATGCTTTTCCTCCTCCCTTCCTCCAGCTGAGTGGCTCATTAATAAAATTGTTCCTAATGAGAGCACAGCATCCTAAAGCGCTGAAACCCTCCAGTGGTGCATCTCTTTCTTCCAATCTCTGTCTTAGAAACTTCCTCCCCCGCCCACCCACCTCCTAGATCCCACAGCGGAGCAAGGCTTCTGTGAGCAATCCCCAGACTGCTCACTGCCCCCATCAATCAGCGACTGGAAGTCTATAGGGCAGAGCTGGAAGAAACAATGATCAGTGAGCTCCTGGGGCCAGACAGGCAGCCCCCGCTCCCTGCCGCTCTACGAATCTGATGCCCCAGCACCGATACGCACCCAATTCTGGCAGAAAGAGAAAGGCAAGGAAGTACCTTCTTTAAGGATCCAGCTCCAGGCAGGGCTTCCAACTGTAGCGCGGACCAGTGACTTCAGAGGGGCGGGTGCAGGAGCCAGGGAGACGGCAGCTGTGCAAGAGCAAGGTCTCAGGGTGTCCCAGGCAGGCGGCGTGAAGAGGCTCGGCCAGCCCACTGCAGCCGCAGCTCTCTGGAGCTGAGGCAGGTGTGAGGCGCAGGCACAGACGCTCTGCAAAGCTAGCACCACCACTGGACCTGGAGGGGATACAGGGGGTGGGTGCAGTCCAAACGGGGCCAGGAAAGCGTCTGGGCTCCCGTATACAGTCTCAGCAAAAGGATTGGAGGACCTTATCCCCTTGACCTTCAGTGGCTCTAGCCAAAGGAGGCTGTCCTTGGAAATAAAGCCCCGTCAGGAAGACATGTCAAAGCAGCTCTGACCTTTGCAGACACTGCCTGTCAAGATGTGTTCTCAGAGGCCAGGGCAGATTCCTGTCTAACTGACACTGAAATTGATGCCAGAGCTGAGTGTCACCCTGAAGTGCTGACTGCATCCAGCCCAGGACACTGGGAAAGCATTTCACCTCCAGTTTAAAGCAGCCGGGCAGGGCTGAGCGACCCCACTGGACAGGTAAAGAAAGTGAGAGACCGTGACTTCCCTTGGCTCACCCACGAGTGAATCTGGATTAAAATGAAGATTCCTGGGATAGATTTCTGTGTTTTTCCCACTTCACTGGATCACACTTCTTACTTTCCTTGCAAGACTTTAGAGCATCTTGCTCAAAACAGAGCTTAACAAACTTACTGAAGGGCATGGGATGATGTGATGCATGAGGCTAGGAAATGCCAACATTCACTTGTTTCAACTATTAAAAGTATTTAACTAGCATGCAGACCAAACCATCAAAACTTAAAAATAAATCAGAAATACACTTTGCTGTTATACGAAAAAATATACAGAGGTGCAAACTGTCTCTCTGATAGCTTTTAAATGACCATCAACCATCCCCTCAGAACTGGTTAGAGAATGGCTAGAGGCATAAGACATTTCACCAGGAAGCTGAGTTAAAAAGAGCTCTCCATTCCCCAGGGCCCATGACTTTCTAGCCACCCACTCTGCCTCTCTGCTTTCTCTATGTGACAGAGGTAAGCCCTCCCATTTCCTTTCCCAAGATAAATTCTTCCTTATTCAAGACAAAATGGTGAGAGGCTTACTCGCAGAACTGAGCCTTTCTTGAAGCAACCAACATTCTTCAGGGAACACTGGCCAGTTCCCATCTGTCCCCTCCAGCTCTCTGCAGCATCCCCCTCGCCCCCCCAAGTGCTGTAGCCAGCCTTCCTCTTCCCACTGCTCCTGTCAGCCTTCGACTGCAGCAGTTGTCACCTGAATTCTAATTGCTGCCTCTGTGTCTGTCTCCCAGACCAGCATCATGAGCTCAACATTCCATAAAGGTTGTCAAACTGAACTTATCCATGATACCAATGGCTATAAACACAGGTGACCTCTTCAGATACTCCCTGAGGTACCAAGAAAGTGCCTCTCCTTTCCAACAGGTGCCAGGCCTCTCATCAGACTGGGAAAAAAAAAAAAACTCAGCAGAATGAGGGATGAAAATATTAGTCCCTAGCAGTGCCACAGACCAGCTTGGCTCAGGTGCCAGGACAGCAGAGTCACAGGAAAGTACACACACGCACACACGTGCACTTCGAACCAAGGCTCCCTCCCTCCTCCAGATCTCCTCCTGAAGACAGGTAGCACTTTCAGCTCTCTGAGCTCCACACAAGGTACTAGTTCAGGCATGGTGCTGACTGCCTATGTCTCTAAGAGGAGAGGAGATTCTTCTGTCTTTTCTGTCTTTTGCCCTTACCTAGTACACACAATTTACTCCACGGCCAAGCACAGAGGTGAGCAGAAACAGGAATCTTATCCCCACCTTCCAGATGAGAAAACAAAGTTGGTTCCCATGGTTACAAAGCTAAGAAAAGGCAAAGACTCAATTCAAACCCAGATGTTCTGTCTTCCACTCTAATACTCTTTCCTCTAAACCACACAGCCTGAACTGGGCATGCAGGTGAATTCAGGAGACACAGGACTCCAGGATGTAAGTTTCAGTGCTACTGCTCTCAAGGCAGAAGGTGATCTCACATTTAGGGAAGTTCTTCATGGGAAAAGCCAGCAACTTTGGAGAGGAAATCTGAGCTTCCTCTCCATCGCCTCTGGCCTTTACCATGTTGGGATACTGGCATGTTTCTACCCCTACACCTCATTCAGACACATATCTTAAGACTAGTAGCCAATTTCATGTTACCACCAAGCTACCCAGAAAATTCCCCTGGGCCAGACACAGTTATCCAAGAAAACCTTTCCATCAGGAATCATTTGTCTGGGGGGAGGTTTGACTCCTTTTGCAATTTAGAAAGCTCCAAATTCTATGTCCCAGGTCCCTTTTGCTCCATGATGAAGAAAAGGTAGGCATCTAAGTCAGACAAGATGGCACCAGGCAAGCGGGAAAAGAGGTAGAACTATCTGAAGAATGTGCCTTTTATCTAAGCGGTTCCTTAGGCTTTTGCACTTTGCCCAGAGAGGTCAGCTATTTGGCAGTCTGTGCGATTACACGGGCTGGGGAGCAGCGCACTGCTTAGGGACACGTGCTCCTGAAACAGCCTCAGAGCAGACTGGTTACAGCCACTCTGACGGAACACAATTTCATTGGACGCAGAAAGAGATCACCCGTGGGAGATCGGTGGGTGTAGCAGTCCAGTGGGAATGAGCTGTTCAAATGACTGACCCTTTAAGGCAGATGAAAATTTCCCAGGGAGGAAACAGGGCCAGTTGCAGGGAGTGAGGAGGCTGCTGTAAACAATGCTCCTTGGGAAAAAAGAAAGGCATCAGGGTCCCAGGGAAAAGACTTCTACTCCTCATCCCTCCCTTCACTGAGACCCTTCCAGAATGCTCTTAGTCTCTGACTCAAACACACTGTAAAATCGAGACGCCAGTAGACAAATGAGGAAGGGGCACAAGCAACCAATTCAGAAAAGAAGAAATACCAGTGTTTACTATTAGAAAAATGTTTAACCACATGAATTAATCATCAAAAAGATGCCAGAGAAACATCAGAACGGCATACTATTTATCTACCCTACACTGTGCCGGGCACCCTAGGTCCATCTCGAAACCGGCCAGTTTAACTCCCACAATGACCCCATACAGTAGTACTGATTATTTCCATTATTTGAGGACAAAGCTGAGGCTTCGAGCAGTTGCCCAGATACTGAGACCATCAGCATCGAGATTCGAACCCAGGTATCATTTTGCTTTTAACCACAGTATGACGCAGACTCTCACACAAGTTAGAAAAACAAGCTTGTTTTAAAGAGAGGTCCTCAGTGTTGAGAAGAGCGTGATCCTCCCCTCCCCAGAAGATGGCAGCGGCAGCCCACGTAGGGTCAGCCTCTCCCAGCCCCGGCGTGTGGGCGCAACTGCGCAGGCTTAGTCTGCGCATGCGCACAAGCAACTGCAAAGTCAAATACAACAAAATGAAACCGTGAAGTAAGGAGATGAAAACGGTCCCAGTGACCAGCGATTTCTTTTGTTGGTCTAAAAAAGTCATCACTATTATGACGTATTCTTGGAAAACAATAAATTACTGGGGTGGGGGGAAAGTGGGAAATCACCATCATCCCCTCATCTTGATACAACCCGTTTCCTGTCCATCTATTTTGCATATCTTAACATAATTGAAGAGCAATTTCTGTGGTGGCTACAAGTCTGGACACTAAGTCAAGAAGTCATGGCTAGAATCCCAGCTCTGCTAATGACTGTGCAACCTTGGACAAATTACTTAAACTCTTCCCTGGAGTGTGTCTTCCTTGGAGAAGGAAATGGCAACCCACTCCAGTATTCTTGCCTGGAGAATCCCATGGACACAGGAGCCTGGCAGGCTACTGTCCATGGGGTCACAAGAGTCAGACATGACTTAGCGACTAAACTACTAACTACTACTCTGTGCCTTAGCCGCCTCACTTGTAAAATAGGAATAGTAACACACTGTACACATCATGGATCTGTCAGGAGGATTAAATAAGATGGTCAACAACTTGGAGGCTGGTATATAGTCTGTGTTTAATAAATAATAAATATATTATCTATTAACATAATGATGCAAATTTAATTATGAATTTGATTTTGTATTTAAAATTTTATCATGTAACATTTAGAAAATACAGTGATACCCGATTTATAGTGATTACTGTAAATGGTTGTGCAAGATTCCACGGACTTAGGCCTTATTTTCCAAACCCACTTCCTCCTAGAGATCATTTCATCTCTAAGTTTAACCCTCCCTGCAATGCTACCCAGATCAGCCAGACTGTCAGACAGGCCTATGGGCAGCTCTCCAGGGAATACCCCAATTTCAGGTGCTGGAACCCAGCTGCCACATGTGGTGATGAATGGTTAAGAGCAAGGATTTCAAGGTAAGATAGACCAAGTTCAAATTCTGATTGTGTGATCTTGAGCAAATTTCCTTATTCAAGAAGAGCCCAGTTCAGTACACAGCTGGGAGAATCGTATGAGATAAGGTATATTTAAGTGCTTTTGCCAATGCTCAAGATTTAGTGAACACTCAATAAATGTTAGCTATGATTACTTTTTAAAACCCACAGTGTTTTAAGCAAGGAAAGGCCAGGAATTGCATTTATTTTATTTATCTCCCTACTCCTAACAGCTGGCACGGCAGGAACGCAACAAAAATGTGTTGAATTAATGAATAAATGAACAGATTAATGGATACATCATAGAGACTGCCAGAGCTGGAAAGGATTTTTTAATAGACTTATTTAGATATAATCTACATACCATACAATTTACCAATAAAAGCTATATAATAGCTGTAGCATACTCAGAGTTGTGGAAACATTGCCACAACCTAATATTTTTAATTGTGATAAAATACTGTTATTTAGTCGTTAAGTCATGTCTGACTCTTTTGGAACCCCATGGACTGTATGTAGCCCACCAGGCTCTTCTGTTCATGGAATTCTCCAGGCAAGAATACTGGAGTGGGTTGCCATTTCCTTCTCCAGGGGATCTTTTCAACCCAGGGTTCAAACCTGCATCTCCTGCATTGGCAAGTGGATTCTTTACCACTTTAGCCACTAGGGGAGCCCATGGTAAAATATGTTGTGCGTGTGCTTAGTCACTCAGTTGTGTCTGACTCTTTGGGACTCCATGGACATACAGTCCATGGAATTCTCTAGGCCAGAAAACTGGAGTGGGTAGCTTTTCTCTTCTCCAGGGGATCTTCTCAACCCAGGAATCGAACTGGGGTCTCCTGCATTGCAGACAGATTCTTTACCAACTAAGTTATCAGGGAAGCCCAAAATATGTTAATACATACCATAAAATTTACTGTTTTAACCATCTGTAAATGTAGAATTCAGTGGCATTCACAATGCTCTGTAATCATCACTACTATCTATAACCCAAATTTTCATCATCTCCAACATGAAATCTATAACCTATTAAACAATAACTCCCCATTCCCTCTTGCTTCCAGCCCTGATAAGACCCATTCTACTTTCTGTCTCTATAAACTTGCCTATTCTAGGTACCTTCTGTAAGTGGAATTATGTAGTATTTGTCCTTCTATGTCTGGCTTATTTCATTTAGCATGTTTTCAAGGCCCATCCAAGTTGCAGCATACATCAGAATTTCATTTCTTTTGATGATCAAGTAATATTCCATCACATGTACATACCACACCTTGTTTATCCATTCATCTATCAGTTGACACTTGTTGTTTCCATCTTTTGGCTATTGTGAGTAATGCTGCCATGAACACTGGTATACAAGTATTTGTTCAAGTTCCTGCTTTCATTTATTTTGGATATATACCTAGGAATGAAATTACTGGGTTATATGTTAATTCTTTGTTTGAATTTTTAGTAACTGCCAAAGTATTTCCAAAACAGCTACACCATTTTACATTCCCACCAGAAACACATGAAGGTTCCAGTTTCTCCATATCTTCACCAACATGTTTTTTTTTCCAACTAAAAAAATCATTATAGGAATCCTAGTAAGTATAGTAGGTGTGTAGTGTTAACTCATTGTGGTTTTGATTTGTATTTCCCTAATGACTAATGATTATTGAGCATCTTTTCATGTGCCTATTGACCATTGGTATATCTTCATTGGAGAAATGTCTATTCAAGTCCTTTGTCCATTTTTTAATTGGGTTGTTTGTTTTTGTTGTCAGAGTTCTTTATCACATATCTGGTTAGTGATTAGTATCACTAATGGGTTAGTATCACTAATATCATTAACCCATTATCAGATATGTGATTTGCAAATATTCTCTTCCATTCTGTAGGATGTCTTTTTGCTTTGTCGACAGTGTTCTTTGATGTAAAAAGGTTATAAAGTCCAATTTATCTATACTGTCTTTTGTTGCCTGTGCTTTGGTATCATGTCCAGGAAATTATTGCCAAATTCACTGCCATAGAAATTTTCCTCAATGTTTTCTTCTAAGAGCTATATAGTTTTAGCTCTTAAATTTAGGATTTTGAACCATTCTGAGGTCATTTTGAACCATTTTGAGGCTTAAGATAAAGGTTTCAATCTTAGGAATTTGAACATTCAAACATTCCCAGGACTCATTATTGAAAAGTCCACAATCAAATTTTAGAACATTTTCATTACCCTCAAAGGAAATTTCATACATGGGATTTCATTTTTATAAGGAATTAGGAACATAATGAATTATTGAGAATTAACAAACCTTGGCATTCATACATGAAAATTAGTTTATTAGAAGAGTTTACTGACAATATTAATTCTCTGTTCTACAAAAGAGTATGACCTCCATCCATCAGTAAACAATACTGCAGAACTAGGGTGTACACGTGCAGGCAAAGAGCTGGAAATCCTGCAGTTT